TCTCTAGAAGTTAAAGAAAGTTACCATTTTAGCCAGTAATTCCACTCCTAGCTACATACCCAAGAGAACTGAAAACATGTCTGCATAAAAACTTGTACTTGATTGTTCATAGCAATATTATCCATAGTAGCCAAAACAACCAATGGATAAATGTCATCCAATGAATGAATGAGAAGTCCATATGCAATGGAATATTTTTCAGCCATATAAAGGAATGAAGTACTGATATATGTTCCCACATGAATGGGCCTTAGAAACATGCTCAGCCGAAACCAGTTTGGCTCAGAGGATACAGTGTTGGCCTGCGGAGGGTGTGCAAGAGGCAGCTGATTGATGTTTCTCTCTCATTAATGTTTCTAATTCTCTATCCCTCTCTCTTTCTCTCTGTAAAAACTATATATATATATATATATATATATATATATATATATATATATATATATCTATATATATCTATATCTATATATCTATCTATCTATCTATCTATCTATATATATATATATATATATAATTTTTTAAAAAGTAGAAATATGCTCAGTGACAGAAGCCAGACACAAAAGGCCATATATTGTCTGATTCTATTTCTAGAATAGGCAACGTCAGAGATACAGAAAGTCAATTAGCAGTTCCCAGTGTCTGGGGAAGAGAGATAGAGAGTGATGGCTAAAGGGTGTGAGGTTTCTACCTGGGATGATAAAAATGTTCTGGAACTAGAAGGTAGTGGTGATTGCACAACCCTGTGAATATACTAAACACCAGGGAGTTACACATTTTTAAATGGTGAATTCTATAGTGTATAAACATTAAAAAAAAAAATCCCAATGGAAAAGACAAGTTATGTACAGAGAACCAAAGACAAGAATAATGCCATTTTTCTCATTGGAAATAATGCAAATTAGTACACAGGGGAGCTACATATTTTGTTTTTTTTGAGTTTTTAAAATTATTTTCTTGATTTCAGAGAGGAAAGAGAGAGAGAGAGAAACATCAATGAGAGAATCATTTGATAAGTTGCCTCCTGCATGCCCCCTACTGCGGATTGAGCCTGCAACCTGGGCATATGCCTGACCCGGAATCCAACCATGACCTCTGGTTCATAGGTTGATGCTCAACCACTGAGTCACACTAGCTGGGGAGGAGCTACATCTTTAAAGTATGAAAAGAAAAAGCTATTTGAGCAAAACTATCTTTCAAAACCAAAATCAAAATAAAGTATTTTTCAGATATACAAAGCTGAAAGAATTCCAGCATATCCAGTCTCCACACAATGTTAGAAGACATCCTTCAGGCAGATGGAAATCTAGACCCACACAGCAGAATGCAGAGCATGGAAATAGAGGTACATGGGGACATGTGTATGCTCTTATCTTATTTAAGATAATCTACTTGTTATTGTGTTTTTAATAGTTTTTTTTTCTTTTTAAAAATATTTTTATTGTTTTCAGAGAAGAAGGGAAAGGGAGAGATAGAAGCATCAATAATGAGAGAGAATCTTTGATTGGCTGCCTCCTGCACATCCCCTACTGGGGATCAAGTCTGAAACTGGGAATCGAACTGTGACCTCCTGGGTCACAGTTGGTCAATGCTCAACCATTAAGCCTCAGTGGCTGGACTAGTTTTCTCCTTATTTTGAGAAAACTGTAGATTCACATGCTGTTCTGAGAAATAGTATAGAGCCAGCCAGCATGGCTCTCTCCCTCTCTCTTCCTTTATCTCTCTCTAAAAAAAAGTCAATTAAAAAAAAATAATATAGAGATCCCATATATCTTCACCCAGTTTCTAGCAAGGTTAACTTTTAAGTAATCCATTAGTGACATTAATCCATACACTGACCTTGTTCAGATTTTACAAGTTTCACATGAATTCCACTGTGTGTGTATATATATGTGTGTGTGTGTGTGTGTGTGTGTGTGTGTAGTGTTCTTTCAATAAAATGCAGTTTCATGACCTTGCTGCACATATCAATAACATGTTCCTTTTCCTTGCTGAGTAACATTCCTCCTGCTTTCTCCCTTCTCCCTAACCTACCACCAATGAATTTCATGTAACCAATTTACACCTCTTTTGATTGTAATGTATAAAATAAGGTGTAAAACTGACATTCTTTGGAGCATTATCGCAATCTGTTGAAATTTTGCTTCCTGGCAATTGTTTTGTTCAAATACTCACAAAAATTCTGTACAGGTTTCAATGGGTCAGAGCACAGTTAACCATTCAACCCCTGAGTACAGATGGGTCATTACCAGTTTTTGGCTATTAAAAATAAAGCTTCTATGAGCATATGGGTATAGGTTGTGTTATGAATTTGAGTTTACATTTCTTAAATAAATGCCCAACAAAATGATGGTTGGGTCATATGGTAAATACATGATTAGTTTTATAAAAAACTAAAGGCCCCATGCACAAAATTCATGCAAGGGGCTCAGCCCTTGCAGGCATAACAGCTGCCTTGGCCCTTACAACCCTGCCTTTATCTGGAAGGTTGTCCAGATGGTCATTCCTCTGTTCGACCATTTGGTCAATTTGCATATTATGCTTTTATTATTATAGAAGACTAGAGGCCCGAGGCACAAAGATTCATGCAAGAATGAGCCTTCCGAGGGAAGAAATGAGGAACCTTTGTAATAATATGAATGGAAAGGATTGAAATAAAAAATAATAATAATAATAAAAAAAGAATGAGTCTTCCTTCCCCTGGTTGCCAGCTCCACCTTCGCTTTGCCAGAGCCGCCTTTCCACCTTCCCATGCTGCCTAACGGCCCAAAGTGGCTGGGGCAGTGCCATGGCAACGATGCAAGCATCCTACCCTACCCCCTCGCCACTCAGCATCTGTATATGCAAATTAACCTGCCAGCTTTGTTGGGCTAATTTGCATACTCACTCCTGATTGGCTGGTGAGTGTCGCAGAGGCACGGTGAATTTGCATCTTACTCTTTAATTAGTGTAGATTCCCTACCATGATCCAGATTAGCTGCACCATTTTCCACTCCCATGTGGATGAAAAGGTGCTACATGCTTCCCTGAGAAGGCCTGTGTGACCTTGCAAAATCAAAGACCTACAGTAACCACAAAGGATGGTCTGAAATTAAAACTTTTCAGCTAAAAGCAGCTTATGGTGGGTAATCATGTCCTAGGCTAGAATCTTCCTTCACAAAAGTCAATCTTACCTTGACTGAGCCTGTCTATTGTCTTTTGCATCTACGATAACACACCTTTGGGATGTCAGGGTAACTCCTCTTTTTCTGGACCCCGCAGGGCACAACCAATGCACCAGAGCGGAGACTACAAATCCTCTCATTGTTGTTAATTGTTGACTATTAACTATCCAGCACCCACCCACCTAAAAGATGTATATGTCTATCATTTTACTTCATACCCAATCCCAGAGGCCCTCCTCCTGCTTTCTCCCTTCTCCCTAATCTACCACCAATGAATTTCATGTAACCCATTTACACCTCTTTTGATTATAATGTATAAAATAAGGTGTAAAACTGTCATTCTCTGGAGCATTGTTGCAATCTGTTGAAATTTTGCTTCCTGGCAATTGTTTTGTTCAAATACTCACAAAAATTCTGTACAGGTTTCAATGTTTCTTACAGATTCCCACCAGCAGTGCATAAGGGTCCCATTTCTCTGCCCCCTCACCTGCATGTGGTGGCAGCACAATTTTTATGTTAGTCATTCCACTGTGGGCAGGGATGTTTTGCTAGGGTCCTGGTTTGCATTTTCCTGTCATCTCTGTGCCTTTCCCATGAAGTTTCTGCACATGCTCCAGAAACTTTTTTTTTTTACTGTTTAAAATTGAGCATTCTTTATATGGTTTAGATAAAGTCCTCCACAAGATATATGGCTTGTGGATATTCTTTCAGCCTGTAGAATTTATTCTGTCTCTCTAGCCAGTGTGGCTTCTTTGGTCAGAGCATTGTCCCATACACTATAAGGTGGCAGGTGTGATTCCTGGTCAGGGCACATACTCAGGTTGTGGATTTGATCCCCAATGGAGTGCATAAAGGAGGCAACCAACCAATCAATGTTTCTCACATCAATGTTTCTCTGTCTCTCTCTAAAATCAATTTTTAAGAAACACTTCATTGTTCCACACCAGCAAAAGATTTTAACTCTGATGAAGTCCACTTTACTAATTTTTTTCTTTTACCAGTCAAGTATACAAAGATCTTTCCTAGCTCTAGGTATTGAAGATTTCCTCCTATTGTTTTTCTGAAGTTTTATATTTTCATTAAGTATGTAATCCATTTTGAGTTAATTTTCATTTATAGTCTAGGTTCTTTTTTTCCTTTCTTTCTTATAAATGTCCAAATTATTCCAGCGCCATCTTTGAAACTTTATCCTTACTCCACTCAATTGCTTTTGCACTTTTGTCAAAAATCAGTTAGACATGTCCAGCTGGCATGGCTCAGCTGGTGAGCGTTGACCTATGAATCAGAAGTCTCAGTAGGACTTCCGGTCAGGACACATGCCCAGGTTGCAGCCTTCATCCCCAGCAGGGGATGTGCCGGAGGCAGCTGACCAATGATTTTCATCATTGATTTTTCTATCTCTCTTTCTCTCTGAAATTAATAAAAAATATATATTTTAAAAATCAGTTAGACATATTTATAGGGGCCATGAGGTGGTCTTTTCTGTGGCCATCCTCCATCCTGAAGCTATCTGCAGGAGTCACTGCTTTAGTGACTTGCCACTTAGGAATTCTAAGAGATTTAAGAGCTCTGAGCCAGGAACCAGGGATGAGACCTGGTACGTATTTCTTATTGCCCACAGTGCTATTGAACACCCACCATGCCCCAGGACACCTCCAAGCCTGTCTGGGTCCCTCCTCAGCCCTGATGCTTCTCAAAGAGTTAAGGTCCCTACTCCCACTCCAAGGGGCTCCCAGAGAGCTTCCATCATCCACAAGACATATCCAACCTAGCACTGCCCCCCGAGCCAGGATGCCCTGAGCTGCCCACCCTCCGCCAGCAAAGCGGGCCGGCCACACTCACAGTCCACGCGGAGCTCAGCCTTGGTGGAGGACACGCCCATGCTGTTCTCAGCCAGACAGCGGTAGACACCCATGTCTGCAGGCACCACAGCCGTGATGATGAGCTGGTGGCCGCCCTGCTGGTCATCGCTGATCATGTAGTGGTCATCCTCCTCCAGGATCCTCCCATCCTTGAACCAGCGCACGCTGGGCACAGGCTGGCCTGTCACCACACAGTCGAAGCTCACAGGGTACCCGTCCAACACCTCCTGATTCTGCAGCTCAGTCAGGAACACTGGGGCTGGGAGGGACAGGTAGGGCGTGCAGGTTAGTAGCAGCCCCCGTGCCCAATCACCTGGGCTGCAGCGGGTGCACCCGTGTGACCAGCGAGGCCCCATTCAAGGGAGGGCACTCAGACCAAGCGGCTGAACAGCACTGTCTCTGCTCTCTGAGCTCTTCCTTCCTCCCCATTCCCTAGGGGAGCCCTCCCTTTGTCAGCCTGGCTCCCAAGCCACCTTGTGGCCAGAGGGACAGCAGACAGAAGGCGTGGAGGAGGGGAAGTAGAGGCAGGACCAAGGCATTGTGGCTGGGAATCCAGGGTTGGAGACCTTGCGCTCAGAACCGAGAGGGACATTTTAAAGGCACAACACTGTGGGTGAATGACGCCCCTTCTGTCATTTCTAGGGACAGACAAGTGAACAGTGAGGTGGCTTTTTAATTAATTTTTGCTGCTGGAACAAGAAATGGGGTGCAGACCAGACCACATGGGACCCCGCCTTTTATACAGGTTGCATCTCAAACCCTCATGGAGAAAAACACAAACGAAAGTCAGCATTCTCACGGCCCAGGCATAGAGGAGAACGCTGAGGCTCTGACAAGAACAGGCAGAGCTGGGTGGAGCGGGAGCTCCATCCACCACCAAGTCGGGCTCTGCCAACCTCCATGGGCAGCATCTGCCTAGAGCCAGCCAACGCCCTGACCTCTCAGCTGACCCTGGTCACGTACCAGCCTCGCCCCTCCTCTACCGCCCCTCCTCTCCCGCCCCACCCCAAGTGGCTCACAGACTCACCAGCCTCTGTGGTCCGCGAGCTGGGCACTGGCTCTGAAGGCGCTGTGGGGGCAAGGGCCACCTTGGCGATGCGTACCTCCACCCCCCGGGGTCCCTGCTCCGAGAGGCTGATGTCCACCCCAATGCCTAGCATGTTGAACATCTCCTGGAAGTGCGTGGCCGCCCGACGGGCCTCAGCCAGTGCCTCAAAGCGGATGCAAACCAAGTGCTCATCCTCGCGGTACGTCTGCCAGTCCCCAGGCTGCGCAGGCTCCCCCGAGCCCTCATCGGCGCTCAGGAAGATCTCCTCCTCCGACACCTCGGTGGAGCCCTTGGTGCGGAAGAGGCGGTGCAGCCGGCGGGCTGCCCGGCGGAAGGTGTCGTCCACTTCTCCGCCAGAGGAGCTCTCAGCCTCACTCTCCGTCCCGCTGACCGCCACGTGGGCGCTGTGGACCGTGCAGCCGAACTTGCTGCTCACCTGGCAGGTGTAGCAGCCCGCATCGGCGTGGCTCACGCCAGTGACCAGCAGAACACAGGTGCCGTCCCTGAGCCGGTCAATGTGGTGGTGCCTGCCGTCCGTCAGCTCCACACCGTCCTTCATCCAACGAGCTTGCACGTCTGCCTTGCTGGACACCACACACTCCAGACGTAAGATGTCCCCCACCTGTGCCTCGGTGTCGCCAAACGTGCTCCGGAACACGGGCCCCTCCTGCTGCTTCATCTCCTTCCGCACCTTGTAACCCTTAAAGGCAGCCTGGATCTTCATGGCCGCCTTGTCCAGAGATGGGTCGCTGAGGTCCTCAATAGTCAGGTCTCCTGGTGGTGGGCACACTGTGGCCGGCTGTTTCGGCTGCTTCTGCAGCATTCCCGATGGGACTGCTGGAGCCCCACCCTGTGTGCACAGATCGGGTAGAGAAACGAGGCCTGGATCAGGGAAAGGATGGGCAGGGGCCTCCGGGGTAGGCTGGAGGCAGAACCCGGTCTGATCCCAGCACCAGCAGGCCACTCTGCCTCTGCTGCTGGCAGCTGCACTACCTTCACTGAAGGCAGAGGCTTGATGGCTCCGGTTGTCACAAAAATCAAGCCCACTTTCCCTGAGATCACTTTACACCAGGATGGAGACTCACAGGGCTGTGAGGAGCACTACAGAGGGGCCAGCTCCAGCTCTTCAGGGAAATGGGGGATGGGTGCATCAGTGGATGGATAGAGAAATAAATGTATGAAAGATGCATGATGGCTGAATGGATAGGTAAGTGGTTAAATGGATGGCAGATGGATTAATAAAGGGATGGTGATGGTTGGATAGATGGATGGATGGATGGATGGATGGATGGATGGATGGATGGATAAATGAGTGGTATAGACCTATGGACAGCGAATGAATGGATGGATGGTGAATGGTGGGTGGGTGGGCAGATGGGTGAGTGTGTGGATAGATGGTGATAAATGGAGGTGCATGAATGAGTGGGTTGGTGGTGATAGATGCATGAATGGATAAGTGGATGGCTGATGGAGGGATAAATGGATGATGACGGATGGATGAACAAAGGGTTATTGAATGGATGGGTCGGTGGATGGTGAATGGTGGATAAGATGATGCGTGGCTGGACAATGAGTGGTAAAGATCTGAGACACCCAGGCCTCCCTTCAGGCCAGGCTGGAGGCTCACCTGACTGGCCAGTGGCGAGGTGCCAGGCTTCCCAGCCTTCTTGAGGTAGGTGACCAGGGAAGGAGTGCCCGCCCGGGACTCGTCGTCAGAGCTGGTGTGTGAGAGGTCGGCCTCACCAGTGCGTGCCAGCTCGTCGGCTGTGGAGTAGTCCTCGGACAGGTCCGGGGCCAGGTCCTCTGCCTCCTGCCGCAGGCGCTGATGGCGCCCGTCCACCTCAGGCAGCTCGCTGATGGAGTCCAGCGTGGGCTCGCGGCTCATGCGGCGCTTCCGAGCCAGGGCCTCCCACAGCAGGTGCAGGTCGCCCTCCTGGGCCGCCTCGGGGGGCAGGCTGGGCTGTGCAGGGACCTCCTCTCTGGATCCTGGGGTCAGCACCACTGTGGACAGCGGGAGACTGGTCAGCCCGGTGGGAACTGGGCTGCCGACCATGGTTCCCCTCAATAGGCCTCTGCTGCCCACCGGGGCTTCTGGAGAGCCCAGATGGCACAGCCTTTACAAGGTTTCAGAGGCTCCAAGCCGCTCTCCTGGGCCTCAACTTCCCCTGCTCAGGTCTCAGTCCCCAGAGTGAGGGGGGTGATGCTCGAGGTCATGGGAGGCTCACAGTGCAGGGGGGAGGAGCCAGTGCAGGGGGGAGGAGCCAGTGCAGGGGGGTGGAGGCACAGTGCAGAGGGGAGGGGGCACAGTGCAGGGGGAGGAGCACAGGGCCTGAGGGGGCCTCAGAGCACAGGGCCTGAGGACTTAAGGGACCAGCAGTGGGTCTCCAGGACTGTGATGGCCGGGATCACATTCAGGGAGGAGGTGCAGCCTAAGGCACCAGAGATGTGGGCTCGGACATGGGGCTGAGCCGTGCAGGGTCTGTGCGCCTCCCCAGCAAGCCTCAGTTTCCCTTGGTGTGAGGCCAACTCCCCAAGTGGACCCCTTGCTATGGGGGTCCTCCCCCCACCCCAGGGTTCCCCCCAACTCCTCCACTCCCGCATGCCGGGCCCCGGAGGACGCACCCTGGAAGGCCCTGGCAGCGGCAGAGACGGGATCCCTGGCAGGGCTGCAGCGGTACTCGCCCTGGTCCTCCGCCGAGAAGCCCCGGATCACCAGCGTCTGCCGCCCACTCTGGCAGAGAACCTGGAAGCGGCCCCCGGGCTGGATGCGCTCCGTGCCCTTCAGCCAGACGACCTCTCCAGCCCCGGGCACCTCACATTCCAGACGCAGCTCCTGGCCGGGCGCCACCTGCCGGCTCTCCAGGGCGAGGGGCGCTGGTGCAGGTTCCGGGGCCTCTGCTGAGGATGAGCCATCAGTAAGGACGCGCTAACCGGGAGGCCGAGAGCTCCAGGCTGGACCCCCACCCTTATCTGCCAGGACCGGCAGCAGCTCACCGAGCCTCACTGTCTGGGGCAGGTGCACGGGCTCCCCGGCGCCTGCGGGGCCCACGGCCGCCACGCGGAAGCGGTAGGTCTCCCCAGGGGCCAGGCCGTCCACCACGCACTCGGGCTCGGACACCAGCTCGTGGCACAGCTGCCACTCCCCAGTGGCCGACGGCTTCATCTCCACCCGGTAGCCACGGAGGCCACCACCGCCGTCGCTGGCTGGGGCCACCCAGGACAGCGTCACGGAGCGGTCACTGCGCCCCACCACCTCGGCGTCCTCCGGGGGGTCCGGGAGGCCTGCGGGGAGGGCGGTCAGTTTGGTCTCCATTCTCTCATAGGGGGCACAGGCCCTCCCGCCCTAGGGTCTGATTCTGGGGTGCAGTGAGGGCGGACAGATCACCCCCCAGGCCTGTGCCCGTGGTGCCTGGGGAGCCAGGGCTGTGCGCCTGGGTGGGGGACGCGGAGAGCCTGCAGTAGCTCCTGGATCTGGAGCCGCCGCCCCTACCCACCCATGGGGGAGGGAGTCCAGCACCCGAGCCACGCACCCAGCACGGTGAGCTGCGCGGAGGCCACGGCGTCGCGGGCGGCGAAGGTGACCTCGCCGGCGTGGTGCGGCCGAGCACGGCGCAGCAGCAGCGTGTGGTGGCTGCCGTCCGCGGTCACCGTCCAGTCCTCATCGTCCGGCTGCACGGCGGCCCCGTTGATGTACCAGGTGGCCTCGCCCACGGGCACCGCCTCGCTGAGCGTGCAGCTGAAGTGGGCCTGTCTCCCTGCGCCCACGGCCGCGTCCTGCGGGGGCTCCAGGACCTCCAGGCGCCAGCCTGCGGGCAGGGCCAGGGCGTGAGCTGGGGACCAGGACAGACCAGGACGGTGGCCTCCGGGTGCTGGGAGACCTTTCCCTCTGCCCCCTCCCTCTACTTCCCAGCCAAATCGGGGCCCAGCTCCTGAGCAAGGGGTCTTAGAGATCGGATCTCTGAGGTCATGGTTCTCCAGATTCCAAGCCTCCTGTGGGATGGAGCTTCAGAGACCAACAGCCCCCCTTAACAGCCCTCCCCACTCTGCCCACCTGCCCCTCATGAAGGCAGTATCTGGCGGAAGGGGTCTGAGTGACCCACGCCCCCTGTGGCCATTGGTTCTCCTTGCACCCGGCATCTGGTGGGAGGGTCTCAGAGACCATGGCCACACCCCACCCCACAGTGGGCGGGTCTTTCAGACCCCCCCTCATCCCTTCAGCAGGGTATCCCGAGGGAGGGTCGCAGAGACGCCGACCCGCACACCCACCTCTGACGGTGAGGAATGCAGAGGTCACCACGTCCCCAGCCAGGAAGGTCACCCGGCAGCTGTCCTGAGGCCGCAGGTTTTTGAGCAGCAGCAGGTGCCGCAGGCCGTTCTCGAAGTAGACCACCTCGGCGTTCTCCGAGCTGGACACGGGCTGGTCATCCAGCAGCCAGGTGTGCGCGGCCACCTCCGGCAGGGACAGGTGGCACTCGAACAGCGCTTCGCCCCCCTCGGGCACCTCCACGTTCTCCAGGCCGCGCACCACTGTGTTCTTGGCTGGAGGATGGAGGGGTGACTCAGGGCGTGGCAGCCCTCACTGCCCAGGCCGCAAAGAAGTGCCCCCCATGACACAGGGCCAAACAGCGGGCCACCAGTGATGGCCACGTGGAGCCTTCCTGCATGTCCTCCCCAGGCCCTGCCCGCCTCCACACCATCACCACGCTAGTGTCAGGACGGGGTCTTCCCACCGCACCAGAGGGAAGCCTCATGAGTGCTCCCACCCTTGCCCTGGCTGCAGGTGGGGCTTTACTATCCCCCTTTCTGCTGTCTCCGGGCCACTGCTATCAGACCTGCTGGGCTGCTACTCTCACTCACTGGGACCCAAAAGACCTCTGCCACCTTCCCCCACCCTCTATGTTCTCTCCTACAAAGCCCGAGAGTCTACAGTTAATGGTCATGCATTTTCCACGGAAGCCATGAACTCAGAGCCTGACAGTGAGGCTTGCCACCTCCTAGCACCGTTTCCAGGACAGGCATCCAGCCAAGAGGAGTGACAGGAGGGGACGCTGCAATGGGAGTGAAGGAGGGGGCCAGCGGGGAGTCAGCCAGCGGAGTGAAAGAGGCAACGGGCCAGGTGGTGAGAGCAGGCAGGAAAGGAGCTCCGGGTGGCCCGGGGCTGGCCTAGATGCCAGGAAAGGTCTGAGTTTGACCCATATGGCAGCCAGGGAGCCGCCACAGTCACTGAGCTGGAGGTCTGAGCCCACAGCCCCAACTGCTGTCTGGATCCGTGCCCCAGACGGAACCCACACACAGCCAGGATGCAGCCTCTCAGATCCGTTAGCATCCAGGCCCATGCTATAGGCAGGGGTGTCTGCTCTGGACAGGGGCCCAGGGAATGAGGTGGGAGGGTGTCTCAGAACAGAGGACCTGCTGGGCTGCCCACATCCCGCTCCCACTGCTTTCCCTCAACAGAGCAGACTCCCCCGTGGCCTGGTCCCTCCCCTCCCCACGTTAGAGCTGACAGGGACTTAGGCATCTGACTCCATTCTGCTGGGTGGCATGATCAGGGCCAGCTGACCGAGACAGAACAGGGTGAGGGGACAGGGGGAGAGGAAGAGCAAGGGGGAGGCCGGTGAGGTCATTGCTGGAGCTCACCCTTACTTCCTACCCAAGGATGTCACCATTGTGTTGGATAAACCCCCAGATTTTAAAGCAGCAGCAAGCCCCGGAGCCCTATTGCCCCCCTTCCTTACACTGCTTCCTTCTCCATGTGGCCCTGTCTGTGGCTGCAGACTCTACCCAGATGTCCAGGAGCCCCAGACCCACCCCCCAGGCCGGGGACACACTGCTCCAATCACATTTCCAATGAGGATGTCAGGGTGCTGCTGGGAATAAGGGAGTTTTGGTTGTTCCCTGCTATGCTCACAGGTGCTCCCCCAAAATGTTTATAAAACTTAGTTGTTGAACTAGTGAGGGAATGGGGGGAGGAGGAGGGGTTGTGAGGCCAGTGGGAGACTGGTGTCACCTGCTCACACCTGCTACCTAGCTTGGCTGGCCCCGACAACCCTCTCACTCTCCGGCTCACTCCCCACCAGGGACGGTTCCGATTTTCCCAGAGATCAAGTGGCTTCAGCCACACAAAGCCTCCTTCCACACAGGGGGGCGGCCACTGTTCTCTGCTCCTGGTTCCCCAACAGCATATCCTCTCAGGGACATGGGGCTTGTTGAAGTGACAGCCTGGGAAGGGGCAGAGCTGGGATCTGAGCCCAGGATGTGGGGGCATAGCCCCATGTGGAGCCCGCGGAGGGTCCTGCGGCCCCCGGGCTGCTTGCTCACCCGCTGGAGGCTGCTTCCTTGCCTGCCTCTACCTCCCCGGTGTTTTGGATGCAGGCTCTTTAGGTGAAGTCTCTGCCCAGGGTCTATCTGGCCACCTTGTGCTATCGGGCTGCTTGAGGAGGGGTCTGGATGGGTGGGCCCAGGGCCCAGCCAGCTTCAGCAGGACCTACTGCTCAGATCCCATCTTCCTAATACTGGCACGGTCACACACTGCTGGCTGCCCCGCCCGATGCCCCACCACTGCATATTGGCTGGGACCATGCCGAAGCCTGCAGGGCCTGGGCTGCCTGCTGGGCGGCCTCACCTTGCACTTGCAGCAGAGCCACCACTCGGGTGCCCGCAGCCTCACAAGAATAGATGCCGCTGTCGGAGGGCAAGGCTGGCCTGAAGGACAGCCTGGCCACGGTCCAGTCCTGCTCTATGATGACGCGACGCCCGTCGGCGCGCACCTCCTGCTCGTCCATCTTCCACGTGGCCTGCACCGGCCGCGAGTACTGGCAGAGGAGCTCGGCCGGGCCACCCTCCTCCACCGCCAGGTCTTGCATGGCACTGACCACCTCCACTGCGGGATCTGTCAGCCAACACGCCGGGCACGTGTAAGCCTGAGCCGTGTGACCAGCGCCTACCCCCCTCTGCGGTCAGCAGCAGCAGTCCATCGGCAAGCAAGCGAGGGGCTTCGGCAGGAAAGGAACTGGCCGTGGTGGCCCAGGTCCCTCACATACTGCAAGCCTTGCCTCTACACACCCCACCCACGGCAGACGCCTCTATCCCTCCTGACCCCTCTGACCTCCTAAGCCCTTTCCTCCCCGGCCCTGGGGAGCACGGGGCACCAGCAGGGACACAATGCCTCCTTAAAGTTCAGGCGCCCTCAGTATTTGCTGGGACCCAGCACCCCTATCCCAGCCTGTCCCTTTTTCAGGAGCCTTTCCACTCCTCTAGGGGGTGCCATCCATGTCCACCTGGAAAAATCCTACTCAATACATGGGCTGCTCCTTGGGCCTGGGGGCATGTCCATTCACTCTTCAACGGTGCAAACCCGTCTGCAAACACGCCGGGTGAAACCACACCAGCGGCCGTCCCAGGAGCACCCAACTGGGAGTGGACTGAGGGGCCCCTGGCATCCCACTGCCCTCCCCAAAGGCTAGCTCTGTCCCAAAAGAGCTCAAGACCCCCAACCCAAACCACAGCGGTGTAAGCAGCCTTGAGCAGGGGTAGGACAGGCTGGGGCAAGGTGGGAAGGCTGCCCTCTGGGTATACGCCTGAAAAGGTGCACCTGTAGAGTGGTGACCAGGTGGCACCAGCACTCAGAGTCCCACGAGCAGGTGGGCATGAAGTAGACTTCCACACATGTGTGAGTGTCCACACATGACACGTGTGGAGCAATGCCAGTCCCCAACCCCTGCCCCGGAGCCTACAGGAAGCTTGCGGGAGCAACGACGGCAGAAGCATTAGTGCGGGCGGGGTCCCATTGGCTGGTACCTTTGACTAACAACTTGGCCGTGGAGACCAGGGGCCCTGCACGGAAGGTGATGGTGCCTGAGTCGGCAATCCCCAGGCCCGATAACGTGAGGGAATGAACCGTCCCATCATGCACGCAGATGGCAGTCTGGGGGCTGTCCTGCAGCAGAGTCCCATCCAGCCACCAGCAGGCCTCAGGCCCACCCGCACAGGAAACCTCACAGTAGAACGTGGCCACATCTCCCGCAAAGACGTCCACATTCTGCAAGCCACGTACCAGGCATGGTGCTGCCTCTGCACAAGAGGGCAATAGGAGGGCAGGCTGGGGTGCCCTGGGCCCACGGGACTATGTGGGGGGTATACACATTGGGGGATCCCTGGCACTGGGGTTTAGAGATCAACTTGGGCCAGCTATCCCACCCTGCTCACAGAATGATACATTCAATCCACTCACAGAGAGTGGGCTCAGTGTCCCTGAACTCACACCCTTCTCCAGAATACACCTGTTTTCACAAAAATACACAGAAGGCAGACATGCACCCACAGCCTCTTCAACAATCAGAATGACAAGTCCCAAGCCACATGGCTATGGGGGGGGGGGTGGAGGAGAGGCTGCGGGGCTGCCACTCTGAGAGGGTGGGGTCTGCCTCAGGTAGTAAGCCTTACATCCCTGCAGGTGTGGAAGCAGATGCTTCTTATATTCCCAGAAGGCCACATGGCCAGATGTCACCTGTGGTCCCCAGCCCTAAAATTCCAGAGCACTAATGCCCCTGGCAACTCCTTTCTGCCCCAGCACACAGCAGGCCCTAGTGCAGGGACTTCCCCAACGTGGCTGCTGCCTGATCTGTGCCCCCACACCTGCCCCAGCTAGGCCCTCCTCAGAAACCTCCCCAAGCCCTTCCTGGGCATGCACCACCAGAACTCCAGCCTTCTTCTGAGAGTGCACATCTGACAATCCCTGACTGCTCCTCCAGCTCTCCATTCCCACTTCCAGCACTGTTCCTAAGCTGGTCCATGTAACACCTATCAGGACACCCCAGGTCATTTCCTTCCCCTGAGGACATGGCCAGGTGTCTGCACACAGGTCAGTGGGCACAGGCTGGGACTTGGCTGACAGGGGTCAAGGCACAACCCTTAGCAAGACCCATAAGTCCCAACCCATCTCCATGTCCCCCCTCACAACCAACCACCCTGATGAACCCATAAAGCTTTTTCTGGCCCAGCCAGATCACAATACCTGAGACACTGCCCCTCTCCCACCATTCAACTTGAGGCCTTTCCCACAGACCACAGAGTCTTTCCTAGCACCAGAGGCCACAGAACTCGCCATAACTGTTCACCCCTGAAGACCTGGGACATGCTTTGTCTCTAATGTGCAATCATCCCAGTGGATTGGGGGATCCCTGATGGCAGAGCTGCACCTGGCCCCTCTAAAGATCTGAGACTTAGACAAAGGGAGAGGCTTAGAGCGTTTGTTCAATGGATGGTAGATGGTGAATGGATGAATGGATAGGTGAACAGATGAATGGATGGGTTTATGGTAGCTAGATGGAAGATAGGTCAGTACTGGATGGATTGATGGTGGATGGATGGATAGATGGTGGATGGTGAATGGATGCTACGTGTTGGATGAATGGATGATGGATGGATGAATGGTGAAGTATGGTGGATGGATGGATAGTGGATAGGTGGATGAGGGATGAATGGTGAATGGATGGTAGACAGTTGGTTAGATGGATGGGACTGGTGTGAGAACCAGGAGTAGAACAGCAGGAGAGGGATACTCAAGAATAACCAACTCTGCAGACAAGGTATAATCTAAGTTGAAGGTTCTTAAAATTCTGTTTGCATGCCTGAGGCCAACTACACTATACCCCAAAACTGTACACATGTCTCAGGTATGCTATTGCTAATCACCTGAGAGCCTGTCAAGTATGCACATGTGTGTTAAGATGACCTGTGCCTTAGGAGTAGCTTTCACCTTAGGGCTCAATTCCCTGCCCCCATGGCCAGGCTCCCCACCTCCCTCCTGCAAACAGCGTTAACCCCCACACAGGGACCCCACATGCACTCCAGAATCTACCAAGCTGATCTTCACCAGCCCACCTCAGTGGGCTATCCAGTTCATGGCTTTGGCAGTCAGAGGTTGGAAAACTGCCACCGAGGGCAAGATAACTGCTGGAAGACCTGGGTTTCTGACCACACCACCCCCAGCAGATCTTTGACTAGAGAGGGACATGGAGACATCACCTTGCCAGGTGAGGGAGGGGGCTGCCCACCTGTGACCTTCAGCTGGGCCTCTGAGCTACATGAGCCCACCTGGAAACTGATGGTTCCAACATCCTCGAGGGTCACCTGTGGGAGTGGAGATGGGGTCTCAGCCTGGCAGCCTGTTCAGACAGTGTCTCCTGACACCTCCCCGGGCCAATCCAATGGGGTTGGAACCTTCTCCTCCCACGCTCCTGGGAGCATATGGGTGGAGGCAGGTCCCAGGGTCCCACCTTGTGTAGAGTGAGTGTGTGGAGAGTGCCTTGCTCCACTGTAATGTCATTCATTTCATTGGCCTGCAGGGGCACTCCTCCCAAGGCCCAGCGAGCCTCCTGGCCAGAGGCCCTAGACAGCCGGCATCGGAAGTGGGCATCCTGGCCCTCACTGAGCTGTACATCCTGCAGGGGCTCCAGAATGGTCACCTGGGGGGCTGCCAAGGGAAGTGTGGCATCAGCCTCAGCAGCTGGGACGCTCCACTGTCAGGAGCACCTCCCAGTTCTGGAGTCTGCCCCCAGCATCCCACCCCACTTTCTGTAGATAGGCATACAGCGTACCACTCAACCCTGGCATCTCGAGCCACCTCAGAACCACCCATGCATGGGGCTAGTTCCCAATCCCCAAAGCAGGGACCCTTGCAGTCTGCCTGTCTTTCAACAGGGTCTCGACATTTGGGCTCCCAGTGTGCTGAGAGGGGCAGCCACCCTCACCCACTCCCACGGACAGTGAGCTGGGCTGAGGATTTGTGGGGGCCCACGTGGAAGGAGTCTGTGCTTGCAACTTCATGTCACACCTTCAGCTGCAGCATGTGGTGTGGGCGCCCTGCACAGCCACCTCTGCCACCTTGCTGCTTTGCAGTGACAGGCCCTGGAGGCACCCTGGGCAGCTGTGGCCCTTGTGCTTACACCTCACAGCTGAACTTCATCTCCCTGTCAGCCTACACCTCCATGTCAACCAGGCCTCACACCATGGTTACTTCAGACTCTGGGGTGTGGGTGATGGGACCCTTTACCAGTCAGGCCTGAGCACCCAGGTGAACCTCTAACTCTCCCTCTTCCAGGAAGCCTTCCTGGATACTCTCACATGCTTGTCCTGTCCCCTCTATCTGCCTCACATAGCATTCATCACCTGATTTGCTACAAACAGAGACCAAGGGGCCAAGATGGGCTCAGGCATCTCTGTTAGGAGGAAGTAGGCAAGGGGCTGCTGGGTGGGGAGCTGCCTCTTTCCATCCCCACCCCGCGGTCAGCCCTGCCCTGGCTGGGACATCAGGAAGGCAAGACCTTCACACAGACAGGCAGGGGCTCAGAGAGGGCAGCCCAACTCAGGCTGCCCTACCTGCCAACTAGGGGCAGGAGGCAGGGCAGCATCCTGGGGACACAGCCTCCCTTTTCCCTCTGTAGACAGGGGAGTGATGACAAAATGAGAAGAGAGAGCTTGTAACCCCAGGGGCCTGAGAGCCACCCTTGGGACAGCACCTGGAGAGAGGGGGTCACAGGGCAGCTATCAGGGAGGGCTCACCTCTGACCTTGACAGAAGCCACAGTTTTCTGGCCACCCACCACACAGGCATACTGGCCCGAGTCCTTGGCTTCGACCCCGTGGATCAGCAGTTCACACGTGGTCCCCTGGTGACGAATCTCGTACTTGGAGCCAGTGTGCAGCTCCACACCCTCCTTGAGCCACTGCACACGGGCCCCAGGCTCCACCTCACTCAGCTGGCAGCACAGCCGGGCCAGGCCGCCCACCTCCTGCTCTGCGTCCTGCAGCTCAGCCTGGAACATGGGCCTGGGGGCTGGGGGACCAGAGAGGGACTTAGAAGTTCAGAGCAAGACACCCCACTCTCCACAGGTTCTGAGGGTCCCGGGGAAGGCAGGGACCAGTGGGTAGCTCACCACGAACTGAGAGTCTGGCAGTGCTCTGTGCGTGGCCTGTGTCACAGGTGTAGTGTCCGGCGTCCTCCTGCTCTGCATCATGTACCAGCAGCTCTACGGTCACGCCTTCCTGAACCATCTGGTACTTGGCGCAGGGGAAGAGCTGCAGCAAGCCCTTGCGCCACTCCACACTGGCGCCCGCCCGGCTCAGCTCGCAGCACAGGCGTGCTGTCCCACCCTCATCCACCTCCTGAGCCTGCAGTTCCCGGAGGAACCGCACGGGTGCAGCTGTAGGAAGCGGGGAATGTAGGGTCAATCGAACATCAGGTCAGGTCCACCCACCAGCCCTGCCCGAGCCAGGGACCCTCAAATTGGACTTCAGTATGGGACTGCAGCCCAGAGGGCCCCCCAAAGCATGCAGGGCCTGTGCAGAGGGCAGAGCCCATCTTGGGTCCCACCTGTGATGGTGACGGTGGCACTGGTGGCCTGGGAGCCACAGGTGCAGGTGTACTCGCCCGCATCTTCCCAGCGCAGGTCCCGCAGCACCAGCTCCACCATGCAGCCCTGCTGCCGTGGCTCCCGGTGCCCGTCGGCCTGCACCTCCAGGCCACCCTTGCTCCAGACCACAGCCCTGGGCTCGCACAGCTCACATCGCAGGCTAGCCTCTGTGCCTTCCTCAGCCTGCAGGTTCTGCAAGGGCTCCCTGAATACCGATGGCTGGGCTGTGGGGTGGGTGGGCAGAGGGGAGACAGGGTCAGTCTAGAGACCCAGTCAGAAGACAGGCCCCCCCACACACCCAGTCAGGAGACAGCCTCCCCCCCACACACACACACACACAGCCAGGAGACAGGCCCTATACCAGTCAATCCTCCTGAGAACCTAGGTCAGGCATGGCTCCCAGCTTCACCCCAGCTGTCTGGCTGCCCAAGGGGACCCATTGCCACATGTCCCAGGAGACTGGGGTAGGAATGGGCATCATAGGTCTGGGTCCACTTCAAAGGAAAGGAGGGTCCATGGTGGGAGCTTCGGGAGGAGATCTGGATCTAACCAGGCGAATCTCATGCCAGCCTCCACCTAGGATGCCCATGAGCAGAGCTGTGTCCCATCAGGCAATCAAGGCCAGGGGGTGCCCTCAGAACCCTAACACAGGGCCATCCCTCAGATCCTGACTAGAGGATAGAAAGGAGAAAAGGTAAACAGATTAGGACAGGAAGACAGATGAGCTGGAATTCTATCTTTACCATGAGAATTGGCCTAGTGAGGTCATGTGGATGGAGATCAGTACCGAGACACTAGGACACTGGACAACAAAGTGATAGGGAAGCAGACAGCAGACGGAGGGAAACTGTTAAAGGCAGAGATGAGGGAGTGGCCATTGGTACCCAGTATGGATGCAAGAGACAAGGAGAGGACTATGGAACCCAAATGAGGCTACGTGGCCACCGACAACCTTTACCCTTGACAGTCAGCGTGGCCGACGTGCTCTCCTGCCCGCACATGCACGAGTACTCCCCAGCATCCGCCACCACGAGGCCACGGATCTCCAGCTCACACACGGCCCCATCCTGCCTCAGGCTGATTCTGTCCCCAGCCCTGAGGGTCTCCGGCCCCTTCCTCCACTCCACGGGGGCGGCCTTGCTCAGCTCACAGCGTAGTTTGGCTGTGCCCCCTTCCGTGGCCTCTTCCTTCCTCAGGATCTTTGTGAACTTTGCGGGCAGGGCTGGGGAGGGTCAGAGTGACACAGAGAACTTCAGACTGTCTGCGGGACTCTGTGTCCAGGACAAGGACACTCACAAGGAACCCACACAAACTGCTATTGGCCATCACATGAACTTGAGAACAAATGCACAGATGGTGACAAAGGCAAAAGGAACAAGAGGAACAGTAGACACAAAGGACTACACGTGGACATCGGAACCTCTGGACGGAGAGATGAAGCTGGGAGATGCTCAGGGACCCCAGTGGGAGACATAAACCCATGGATGCTACAAGGGAGCAGGTGTTGACAGAGTAGAAATGTGCAGACACCAAGCCACTGGCCCCTGAGGCCATATGCAGACTTTACCCCTGATGGTCAGCGTGGCCGACGTGCTCTCCTGCCCGCACACGCACGAGTACTCCCCGGCATCTGCCACCACGAGGCCACGGATCTCCAGCTCACACACGGCCCCATCCTGCCTCAGGCTGACTCTGTCCCCAGCTCTGAGGGTCTCCAGCCCCTTCCTCCACTCCACGGGGGCCGTCTTGTTCAGCTCACAGTGCAGTGTTACCATGGTCCCTTCCATGGCCTCTTCCTTCCTCAGACCCTTTGTGAACTTGGCGGGCAGGGCTGGGAGTCAGAAAGATATGGGCGCAATCACACATATGAGCCATGGATAAGACAAGACGTGGACAGCACAGAGGAGACATAAGGCCCATGTGGACACGAGCTACATGCTGGGCGTGCCCAGTCACATTGTGCATGGCGGCGCCCTTCAACGAGCTGTGAACAGCAGGACTGTGCCACTTTCATGGACGCCTCAGGCCACAGGCTTTGTATGGAACTGGTGGACAGGAGTGCGAGGGCTGGAAAGACAGTGAGGCAGATTCTGTGGGGAAATTTGGGGCAGGACATGACTGGATGGACCAGGTGACACAGACTCTGACAGGAAACAGAACAAAACCAGTGGTGACACGAGGGATGAGGAGTGGCCTACATGCTGGTTTCTCGTGGTTGCACAACAGCCCGGAAGGTGGAAGGGATTTTGTGGAATTATGGGAAGCAAATGACACTGAGACAGCAGAGAACATGGAATGAGTGCAGGCAGATGTCATGAAGCGGGTAACTGAACACCAAAGCACAGTTCTGCGTGGCCACACACGGTCTTTACCCCTGATCGTCAACATGGCCGACGTAATCTCCTGCCCACACACGCACGAGTACTCCCCGGCATCCGCCACCACGAGGCCACGGATCTCCAGCTCACACACGGCCCCATCCTGCCTCAGGCTGATTCTGTCCCCAGCTCTGAGGGTCTCCGGCCCCTTCCTCCACTCCACAGGGGCCGCCTTGTTCAGCTCACAACGCAGTGTGGCTATGCCCCCTTCCGTGGCCTCTTCCTTCCTCAGGATCTTTGTGAACTTCGCAGGCAGGGCTGGGGAGGGTCAGAGTGACACAGAGAACTTCAGACTGTCTGCGGGACTCTGTGTCCAGGACAAGGACACCCACAAAGACAACAGAAGCTGCAAAGGGCCACAGTGTCAATGAGAACAAATGCACAGATGGTGACAGAGGCAAATGGAACAAGAGGAACAATAGACACAAAGGACTACACGTGGACATCAGGACCTCTGGACGGAGAGATGAAGCTGGGAGATGCTCAGGGACCCCAGTTGGAGACATAAACCCATGGATGCTACAAGGGAGCAGGTGTTGACAGAGTAGAAATGTGCAGACACCAAGCCACTGGCCCCTGAGGCCATATGCAGACTTTACCCCTGATGGTCAGCGTGGCCGACGTCCTCTCCTGCCCGCACACGCACGAGTACTCCCCGGCATCCGCCACCACGAGGCCACGGATCTCCAGCTCACACACGGCCCCATCCTGCCTCAGGCTGACTCTGTCCCCAGCTCTGAGGGTCTCGGGCCCCTTCCTCCACTCCACGGGGGCCTCCTTGCTCAGCTCACAGCGCAGTGTTACCATGGTCCCTTCCATGGCCTCTTCCTTCCTCAGACCCTTTGTGAACTTGGCGGGCAGGGCTGGGAGTCAGAAAGATATGGGCGCAATCACACATATGAGCCATGTATAAGACAAGACGTGGACAGCACAGAGGAGACATAAGGCCCATGTGGACACGAGCTACATGCTGGGTGTGCCCAGTCACATTGTGCATGGCGGCGCCCTTCAACCAGCTGTGAACAGCAGGACTGTGCCACTTTCATGGACGCCTCAGGCCACAGGCTTTGTATGGAACTGGTGGACAGGAGTGGGAGGGCTGGAAAGACAGTGAGGCAGATTCTGAGGGGAAATTTGGGGCAGGACATGACTGGATGGACCAGGTGACACAGACTCTGACAGGAAACAGAACAAAACCAGTGGTGACACGAGGGATGAGGAGTGGCCTACATGCTGGTTTCTCGTGGTTGCACAACAGCCCGGAAGGTGGAAGGCATTCTGTGGAATTATGGGAAGCAAACGACACTGAGACAGCAGAGAACATGGAAAGAGTGCAGACAGATGTCATGAAACAAGTAACCGGACACCAAAATAGGGCTCTGCTTGGCAACACACGGTCTTTACCCCTGATGGTCAGCGTGGCCGACGTGATCTCCTGCCCACACACGCACGAGTACTCCCCGGCATCCGCCACCACGAGGCCACGGATCTCCAGCTCGCACACGGCCCCTTCCTGCCTCAGGCTGAATCTGTCCCCAGCTCTGAGGGTCTCCAGCCCCTTCCTCCACTCCACGGGGGCGGCCTTGCTCAGCTCACAGCGCAGTGTTACCACGGCCCCTTCTGTGGCCTCTTCCTTCCTCAGGATCTTTGTGAACTTCGCGGGCAGCGCTGGGGAGGGTCAGAGTGACACAGAGAACTTCAGACTGTCTGCGGGACTCTGTATCCAGGACAAGGACACTCACAAGGAACCCACACAAACTGCTATTGGCCATCACATGAACTTGAGAACAAATGCACAGATGGTGACAAAGGCAAATAGAAAAGAGGAACAATAGACATAAAGGACTACACATGGACATCAGGACCTCTGGACGGAGAGATGAAGCTGGGAGATGCTCAGGGACCCCAGTGGGAAACATAAACCCATGGATGCTACAAGGGAGCAGGTGTTGACAGAGTAGAAATGTGCAGACACCAAGCCACTGGTCGCTGAGGCCATATGCAGACTTTACCCTTGATGGTCAGCGTGGCCGACGTGCTCTCCTGCCCGCACACGCATGAGTACTCCCCAGCATCTGCCACCACGAGGCCACGGATCTCCAGCTCACACACGGCCCCATCCTGCCTCAGGCTGACTCTGTCCCCAGCTCTGAGGGTCTCCAGCCCCTTCCTCCACTCCACGGGGGCCTCCTTGCTCAGCTCGCATTGCAGTGTGGCTGTGGCCCCTTCCATGGCCTCTTCCTTCCTCAGACCCTTTGTGAACTTGGCGGGCAGGGCTGGGAGTCAGAGAGATATGGGCGCAATCACACATATGAGCCATGGATAAGACAAGACGTGGACAGCACAGAGGAGACATAAGGCCCATGTGGACACGAGCTACATGCTGGGTGTGCCCAGTCACATTGTGCATGGCGGCGCCCTTCAACCAGCTGTGAACAGCAGGACTGGGCCACTTTCATGGACGCCTCAGGCCACAGGCTTTGTATGGAACTGGTGGACAGGAGTGCGAGGGCTGGAAAGACAGTGAGGCAGATTCTGAGGGGAAGTTTGGGGCAAGACATGACTGGATGGACCAGGTGACACAGACTCTGACAGGAAACAGAACAAAACCAGTGGTGACACGAGGGATGAGGAGTGGCCTACATGCTGGTTTCTCGTGGTTGCACAACAGCCCGGAAGGTGAAAAGGATTTTGTGGAATTATGGGAAGCAAACGACACTGAGACAGCAGAGAACATGGAATGAGTGCAGGCAGATGTCATGAAGCGGGTAACTGAACACCAAAGCACAGTTCTGCGTGGCCACACACGGTCTTTACCCCTGATCGTCAACATGGCCGACGTAATCTCCTGCCCACACACGCACGAGTACTCCCCAGCATCCGCCACCACGAGGCCACGGATCTCCAGCTCACACACGGCCCCATCCTGCCTCAGGCTGATTCTGTCCCCAGCTCTGAGGGTCTCCGGCCCCTTCCTCCACTCCACGGGGGCCGCCTTGTTCAGCTCACAACGCAGTGTGGCTATGCCCCCTTCCGTGGCCTCTTCCTTCCTCAGGATCTTTGTGAACTTCGCAGGCAGCGCTGGGGAAGGTCAGAGTGACACAGAGAACTTCAGACTGCCCGTGGGACTCTGTGTCCAGGACAAGGACACCCACAAGGACAACAGAAGCTGCAAAGGGCCACAGTGTCAATGAGAACAAATGCACAGATGGTGACAGAGGCAAATGGAACAAGAGGAACATTAGACACAAAGGACTACACGTGGACATCAGGACCTCTGGACGGAGAGATGAAGCTGGGAGATGCTCAGGGACCCCAGTGGGAGACATAAACCCATGGATGCTACAAGGGAGCAGGTGTTGACAGAGTAGAAATGTGCAGACACCAAGCCACTGGCCCCTGAGGCCATATGCAGACTTTACCCTTGATGGTCAGCGTGGCCGACGTGCTCTCCTGCCCGCACACGCACGAGTACTCCCCGGCATCCGCCACCACGAGGCCACGGATCTCCAGCTCACACACGGCCCCATCCTGCCTCAGGCTGACTCTGTCCCCAGCTCTGAGGGTCTCGGGCCCCTTCCTCCACTCCACGGGGGCCTCCTTGCTCAGCTCACATTGCAGTGTGGCTGTGGCCCCTTCCGTGGCCTCTTCCTTCCTCAGACTCTTTATGAACTTTGCGGGCAGGGCTGCAGAGGGTCAGAGTGTCACAGAGAACTTCAGACTGTCTGCGGGACTGTGTCCAAGACAACGACACCCACAAGGACAACAGAAACTGCAAAGGGTCATAGTGTCAATGAGAACGAATGCACAGATGGTGACAGAGGCAAATGGAGAAGAGGAACAGAGGAGACAAAGGACGACACAAAAATCAGGACATGAAATTGGCCACAGCGGGGAGATGCTCAAGGAGAAACCCTGCCCCATAGTCCTACAGAGCAGAAGGCGATCTCTGCAGACACCAAGCTATTGGTCCACACGGTCTTTACCCCGGACGGTCAGCGTGGCCGACGTGCTCTCCTGCCCGCACACGCACGAGTACTCCCCGGCATCTGCCAGCATCAGGCCACAAATTTCCAGCTCACACACGGCCCCTTCCTGCCTCAGGCTGACTCTGTCCTCAGCTCTGAGGGTCTCCAGCCCCTTTCTCCACTCCACGGGGGCGGCCTTGCTCAGCTCACAGCGCAGTGTTACCACGGCCCCTTCTGTGGCCTCTTCCTTCCTCAGGATCTTTGTGAACTTCGCGGGCAGCGCTGGGGAAGGTCAGAGTGACACAGAGAACTTCAGACTGCCCGTGGGACTCTGTATCCAGGACAAGGACACTCACAAGGAACCCACACAAACTGCTATTGGCCATCACATGAACTTGAGAACAAATGCACAGATGGTGACAAAGGCAAATAGAAAAGAGGAACAATAGACATAAAGGACTACACATGGACATCAGGACCTCTGGACGGAGAGATGAAGCTGGGAGATGCTCAGGGACCCCAGTGGGAGACATAAACCCATGGATGCTACAAGAGAGCAGGTGTTGACAGAGTAGAAATGTGCAGACACCAAGCCACTGGCCCCTGAGGCCATATGCAGACTTTACCCCTGATGGTCAGCGTGGCCGACGTGCTCTCCTGCCCGCACACGCACGAGTACTCCCCGGCATCCGTCACCACAAGGCCACGGATCTCCAGCTCACACACGGCCCCATCCTGCCTCAGGCTGATTCTGTCCCCAGCTCTGAGGGTCTCCATCCCCTTCCTCCACTCCACGGGGGCCGTCTTGCTCAGCTCGCAGCGCAGTGTTACCACGGCCCCTTCTGTGGCCTCTTCCTTCCTCAGACCCTTTGTGAACTTGGCGGGCAGGGCTGGGAGTCAGAGAGATATGGGCGCAATCACACATATGAGCCATGGATAAGACAAGACGTGGACAGCACAGAGGAGACATAAGGCCCATGTGGACACGAGCTACATGCTGGGTGTGCCCAGTCACATTGTGCATGGCGGCGCCCTTCAACCAGCTGTGAACAGCAGGACTGTGCCACTTTCATGGACGCCTCAGGCCACAGGCTTTGTATGGAACTGGTGGACAGGACTGGGAGGGCTGGAAAGACAGTGAAACAGATTCTGAGGGGAAGTTTGGGGCAAGACATGACTGGATGGACCAGGTGACACAGACTCTGACAGGAAACAGAACAAAACCAGTGGTGACACGAGGGATGAGGAGTGGCCTACATGCTGGTTTCTCGTGGTTGCACAACAGCCCGGAAGGTGGAAGGCATTCTGTGGAATTATGGGAAGCAAACGACACTGAGACAGCAGAGAACATGGAAAAAGTGCAGACAGATGTCATGAAACAAGTAACCGGACACCAAAATAGGGCTCTGTTTGGTCACAGCTGTTGTTACCCTTGATGGTCAGCGTGGCCGACGTGATCTCCTGCCCGCACACGCACGAGTACTCCCCGGCATCCGCCACCACGAGGCCACGGATCTCCAGTTCATACATGGCCCCATCCTGCCTCAGGCTGACTCTGTCCCCAGCTCTGAGTGTCTCAAGCCCCTTCCTCCACTCCACGGGTGCCTCCTTGCTCAGCTCGCAGAGAAGTGTGGCTGTGGTCCCTTCTGTGACCTCTTCATTTCTCAAATCCTTTGTGAACTTCGCAGGCAGAGCTAGGGAGGTCAGAAGGACCCAGAAAACATCAGACTGCCTGGGGAAGTTGGGGGTTTGAACAAGACATGGACACTTGACATTGAAACACACTTTGGAGCAAACACGGACTCATGAACACATGGACACAATGGGGGGAAATGGTGCCCATCCAGGTGAAGGCCAATGACAAGGTGGAGCTGAACCCCAGTGGTGAGAAGGAGCTGAACCTCAATGGATACGCAGACCATTGGATGCTCAGTGGGGACCTCTCACCAGGACAGACACAGGGAAATGTCCATAATTTCAATGGACAGGGATGGTGACCAGAAGGATGTAATCTGGAATCTTCTGTTACTTGTCCTGCCTCAGACTTCATTTGAGGTCAGAGTCAAGACCCCTGGCCCCTTCCCTCACTTGCCACACCAGGTTGCTGAGATAACACCGTAGCCATGGCCCACTCCACGGCTGGAGAAGGAGACGTGGAAAGGGCTGCCTAAATCTCTCCCACGAGTTTGCATCCGCGCTCACTCCTCATCACCTCCTGTAGCTCCTGAGGCCAGAGCTGGACAGACCAGAGTAAGGAACACCCGGGCCAGGAAGGTCCATGAGCTTGTCACCCCAGTACCGGTGTCCTGGGAACCCCCAACCTTCTAGAAGCAGCTCTCTGGAGCGACCTGTAGCTTGTCACCGCAGATCCTGTGCTCTGGCTGTTGGCTGAGTGAAGCCCTTCGAGCCCATGCTCCTTTGGTCTCCTGGGAAGTCTGACTAGCACAAGGCACAGTCCGTCCCTGCTGGAGGTGCAGTGCTCTGTCCGTGCAGCCCAATGGGTCATGGTGGTGGCTTCTCCCCAAAGGTTTGAACATCGTGCACATGATGGCCATTTAGAATCCTCTTCTTCGCTGTCCACCTTGTCTCGTGAGCGAGTCTGGAGGCCCATGACTGGCGGCCCTCACACCTGCAGAGCAGCTCTTCCCTCTGCTCTTTCTGAGGCGCACCCTGCCCGGGCTCCTTCATCGATGTTGCTCCGTGGGTCCTCCTAAAACATCTGTCTCTATCCATCTACTTGCCCTTCAGGAGGGGCCAGGACCTCAGGAGGACCCCTGAAGACCCAGGCCCCTGAAGACCCGGACTCCCTGACCTGTCACCAGACTGCCAGCCATACCTCACTATGGCCAGGCCCGGTCCTGATTCCCCAACACTGAGGGTCTCCGGCCTGTTCCGCCACTTCATGGGGGAACCCTGCACAATTCACAGACATGTGCAGCATGAACATGGCACCTCCATGGCCGTCTAAGGACCCAGGACTTTTGTGCATTGGGGGGTCAGGACTATGGAGGGTCAGATGGACACACAGACCATTGGATGCTGCAGTTTGCAGACAAGAAACAGGCCACACATACCAAGCTGGCGACACAGGCACCTTTTGGAGGTGTGGCCCCAGGGTCACAGGCAGGACACCCTTCACAGGGGCTGTTCTGATGAGAGGGGACACCCACCTGTTTTATTTCTGGGGTGCCCACACAACTGGCTACCATCCACTTAAGCCATGGGCCAGCCCACCAACTCCAGCTGAGTGAGCCCCTACCCCACCCCTCAACGTGGCTTCTCAGTTCACTCGAGACCACCTGCCCACACCCAGCAAGCCCCCTGCTACTGCAGGGGAGAACCACCAGACCCACCACAACACAAGACGCGGAGCCCAACCCAGAGGGGATGCCCACCTGCCCACCAGCCACAGAAACCAGTCACAGACCCTCCACTCTGGCATGGACACAACCATCTTTTCCTGGCTAGGGCTTTGCTCTTTAACCCAGCCCTCCCTGTCCTTCCACCATTTCAGACCTCCCCTCTTCCCACCGTCCCACACCCACCTCATCTTCTCCTCCCCACCCACACCCACCTCACCTCCCACACCCTCCTCACCTCCTCCTCCCCTCCCACATCCACCTCACCTCCTCCTCCTCCCCTCCACACCCACCTCACCTCGTCCTCAGTTTTCACACCCACACCACTACCTCATCCTCTCCAGCTGCCTTACCTCCCATGGCACCCAGTCTTAGACAGTGGACCCACATCATCTCTATGGCTCTGTCATGGCGAGTCACACATGCTTGGCTCCCTCCCTTGATCATAATTCTCAGCATCTCTGCATCAAGGGCCACACTTAGATCTACTACCTAATCCATGCTGGCATGGCCTCCTCAAGAGGACTGTATCCCGCCATTTGTGTTGTGTGGCTACTCTCCCCTTGCCCCCTCCCCTCCATCCCCAGAGGTGACCCTGTGAAAGAGGAAACCTTGTTTTCTGATCTGTATCTGGGAAGGCCTCACACAGCTATGTGCTAAGACTCCTGCTGCAGGATAGCCGGAGACACAGGAGGTGGAAATACCTACACACACGGACAGAGCAAGGGACCTGCCCAAGCTCTCAGACACAGAGCCACTGCTCCATGTGGCCACACATGGTCTTTACCCTTGACTGTCAGTGTGGCCGACGTCCTCTCCTGCCCACACACGCACGAGTACTCCCCGGCATCCGTCACCACGAGGCCACGGATCTCCAGCTCGCACACGGCCCCTTCCTGCCTCAGGCTGATTCTGTCCCCAGCTCTGAGGGTCTCGGGCCCCTTCCTCCACTCCACGGGGGCCGCCTTGTTCAGCTCGCAGCGCAGTGTGGCTGTGGCCCCTTCCGTGGCCTCCTTGCTTCTCAGTCTTCCTATGAACTCGGCAGGCAGGACTGTGGAGGCCAAACAGACACAGAACATTAGATTCTGTGAAGAGCTTTGGAGCAGGACCTAACAGGACAGAGGACTTGATGCAGACACTGACAGGAAATAGGACAAAACCATCAGTGACACAGCAGCGAGAAGTGGCCTAGGTGCAGGTTTCTCGTGGTTTGCACAACGCCGGAAAGTGGAAGGGATTCTGTGGAATGATGGGAAGTTAACGACACTGAGACAGCAGAGAACATGGAATGCGTGCAGGCAGGTGTCATGAAGAGAGTAATCGGACACCAAAGCACAGCTCTGCGTGGCCACACACGGTCTTTACCTTTGACGGCCAGCGTGGCCGACGTCCTCTCCTGCCCACACACGCACGAGTACTCCCCGGCATCTGCCACCACGAGGCCACGGATCTCCAGCTCACACACGGCCCCATCCTGCCTCAGGCTGATTCTGTCCCCAGCTCTGAGGGTCTCGGGCCCCTTCCTCCACTCCACGGGGGCCTCCTTGCTCAGCTCACAGCGCAGTGTTACCACGGCCCCTTCTGTGGCCTCCTTGCTCCTCAGTCTCCCTATGAACTCGGCAGGCAGGGCTGTGGAGGGCCAGAGACGGAGAAGCTCATCCTCACCCTCCTACCGGGGACGAAGGATACCGATGGGGCTGCCTGGGCAGGGCAGAGGCACGCGTACCCTTCACGGTGAGCGTGGCTGAGGTTGTCTGGTCCCCGAAGCAGCAGACGTACTGCCCACTATCGCCGGGCTGCAGGTCCCGGACCACCAGCTCCAGCAAGGTGCCCTCCTGCCGCATCCTGTACTTGCCTCCCGGCCGCAGGACCTCGTCTCCGCAGCGCCACTCCACGGGCGCGGCCACCGAGGACAGCTGGCAGCGCAGGGTGGCAGCACCGCCCTCCAGCACCTCCGCGTCCTTCAGGCCCTCCCGGAAGTGCACCGGCCGCGCTGTGGAAGGCACAGTTTGTCCTCGCTCCCGCATGCACCCGGGGCTCCCCCACAGTTGAGGAGGGCTGCAGGGACCAGCAGGGTGCGGGAGGCCCACCCCACCCTTCTACATCAGGGGCTAGTGCCGGGGACCCTCCAGGAGGAGGAGCCAAACCAAAGAGCACAGAAGGGTGGGGTGTCATGAGCTGCACTGGGCCCCCTTCACTCATGGGAGCCCCAACCCCAGGACCTCAGATGGTTCTTGCATTGGGAAGCCGAGCCTTTAAAGACGCGATGAAGGTGAAGTGAGATCACCAGAATGGGCTCTAATCCCATGTGACTGGCGTCATTAGAAGAAGAAGAGATCAGCTGAGACCGGTTTGGCTCAATGGATAGAGAGAGCGTCGGCTTGGGGACTGAAAGGTCCCGGGTTCGATTCCAGTCAAGGGCATGTACATGGGTTGCGGGCACATCCCCGGTAGGGGGTGTGCAGGAGGCAGCTGATCGATGATTCTCTCTCATCGATGTTTCTAACTCTGTATCCCTCTCTCTTCCTCTCTGTAAAAAATCAATAAAATATATTTAAAAAAAGAAGAAGAAGAAGAAGAAGAAGAAGAAGAAGAAGAAGAAGAAGAAGAAGAAGAAGAAGAGATCAGCACACAGACACACACAGAGGGACAGCCCAGGGAGGACAGAGGAGGAGGTGGCCACCCACACAGCAAGGACAGAGGCCTCCAGGGGACCAGCACTGCCCACACCTGGGTCCCAGACGTCCAGGCTCCAGGCCTGGGAGAGAGAAATGACAGGTGTTTGAGCTGCCATGTCTGTGGTATTTGTTACACAGCCCAGGCTGATGGAGATAAGTCAGGCCCGGAGGAGGGAGGAGAGATGTCAGAAGACAAGGCAAAGTGAGGAATAAAGTACAAAAGATACTGGCAGTCAGGAGACCAGGAAAGGGTAAGAAAGGTTCTCTCAGCAGCAGAGACCCAGACCCAGAGACGGGGAGAAGCAGTGAGGGGAGGATGAGCTGTGGAGAGACAGAGTCAGACAAAACACAACATCCCCCCCCCCACACACACACACACACATACACACAGACACTGAGAGGGCAAAGACAGAGAGGGAAGGAGCTGAGTGAGATCTGGGGCCGCCCCTGCCCTGAACAAGATGAGAACCATGGGCACAGAGCATGCCTGGAAGCTGCCTGGTCCTCCTGCCTGAGGGCTCACCGTGGACCCTGACGATGGAGCTGCTCCAGGCACCCGGGGCCTCACACTTGTAGCGCCCGCCATCCTGTGAGGTGGTGCCCGTGATGACCAGCTGGGCTCGGCGGCCCTCACGGCTCAGCTGGCACCGGGCCGACCCCCGCAGGGTTTTCCCATCCTTGGTCCAATGCACAGGGCTGTCCGGGTCAGTGGTCTCGCAGACCAGAGTCAGATCCTCGCCCTCCATGATTATGGTATCCGTGAGCTCCTGGGAGAAGATACTTGGCTTCTCTGGGGACAGAGAGGGAAGTAGAGGGCACATGAGGGCTCCTGCAGGGAAAGCTCCAGGTGTCGCTGCAGCCCAGGGGACACCCCAGGTCAGTACCCATCTATCCACCTCAGCCTGGCGGCACAGACAGGCCGGCCTCTGCATGGCTCCCCACACACCAGGGGCATGGCCAGGGCTGTGCCATGCTGACCATGGAATCAGCTCTGCATACCATGTGCAATGATACATCCGGAAACAGCCAAACCCAGCCTCCCCAGCCCACCCTGGGACCCAAGGCCCAGCCCACAGCACCTGCTCTGTGAGCCCCGGGATCACACTGCATCCCGAGCCACACGAATGGTCCCCACCACAGCACTTGCAGGCAGCCCACCTGTGACCCGCAGGGTGGCCGAGGACCGCTGATCGCCCGCTTCGAAGTAGACAGTGCCCGAGTCTTTGAGCCCAAGCTCCCGCAGGGTGAGCACATGGTAGCCACCCGGTTGGGTCTCAATCCCATTGAGCTCATTGGGGTGCAGAGGCGTTTTGTCCAGGAACCAGTAGACAGGCTCGTAGTCAGCAGGGGAGACACGGCAGCTGAAGGTGACTGAGGAGCCCTCCTGTACCTCAGCGTCCTTCAGGTCCTCTGTGATGAGCACTCTCTGACCTGAGGGACAGAGGGGACACATCAGGACCGCACCGAGGGAAATGGGGTGCTCTCCCAGACCTGTAACAGGTTCAGGATGATGGAAACTGAGAAACAGCAAGGAAGTCAGAGCTAAACTGACCAGGCCCACGGACATGCCCCAGTCCCCCTCGGTCCTTCTGTGGAACATGAAGAGTGACTCACGATGGCCACTCCACCGCTGTGCTTCCCAGCTGGTTCCTGTCCCCAGAGTTACGTAATGAAACCAAATCTTGTATTAACAGAAGACATCAGAGTGTGAAAAAAGACATGTGCCTATGTGAAATTTAAATCCAATGCTCAATGCTCTGGAGATCTGACAACATGAATTGCTAGGAAATTTTTTCCCCCCTGCCAACTTAGGTCAGGGACACTTAGAAAAAGTTAAACACGAAAATGGGTGTAAAACAGATTTCTCCATATTCACGGGTGATTTGAAGCTGCCATATGCCGGGCACCAGGCACTAGACACCAAACACAAGACGCTGTATGGACACTGGGCATGAGGCACTGGAAAGGACAATTGGTGCGTCCAGAGGTGACTGGTCAGAGAAAAATAGTTTTGATTTGAAGACTGACACTGAGAGAAAAGGCATTGGCCACCAAATGAGCTCATGAGAGTGTTTTTGCTTTTAATCCTCACATGAGGATGCCTGAGGTATTTTTTCCACTGATTTTCGGAAGAGTGAGAGGGAGGAAGGGAGGGAAAGAAGGAGGAACGGACCCTGGATGCTGGCCCCGGGATCCGGAAGGTCAGATGCCCGGATGCCAACACGCCCAACAACCCTGGCCCAGCCTCTGACTGTATGTAAAGCATCAGCTTCTTTATCTGTGAGATGGAGACGAGGATGACCCTCCGCCTGCCTGCCAGCTACAAACTTCCTCAAACCTGGAGACCTCCATGTTCAGAAGCGGTCCATCTGTGTGCAAATACACGGGAGCTCACGCACACAGGAGAAGCTCCAGAGACACAAATGCAGTAATAAATGAGGACTGCTGACTCATTCGCACAAAGTCCAGCTGGGAGGTCACAGAGATGAGCCACCCAAGGCAGCCCCTCCAGGAGATGGGGAACCAAGGCTGGGCTGGTCCCAGGCCTCGGAGGCAGATTCACACAAGGCTTGCACCGGCCACATCTCAGGTCGTGAAATCCGTGCAACGCGCCAGCCTCACCTTGCACCACGAGCCGAGCCTGGGACCTTGCCTGGCCAATGTCGCAGGAGTACGTGTCGCTGTCCGCCTTCTCCAGGGCACTGATGGTGAGCCTCAAGGTCACGCCCTCCTGGCTGGGTGCATGCTTCCTCGAGGCGCGCAGCTCAGAGAGGCCCTTTCTCCAGGTCACCGTGGCTGCAGGGCGCTCGGTCTTGCAGGTAAACACAGCCACGCCTTTTTCCTCCACCTGCAGGTCAGCCAGCTCCTCGGTGAACCGGTTTGGCTTTTCTGGGGGCAGAAATAAGAAGGGGGGGGGGAGGGTGTGTGTGTGAGGCCTACAGACCCCACAGGACATGGGCAGTTCTTCAGGGACTGGGCTGAGCCCTTTCCCTCTCCACTTTGGACAGCACTGCGGAGGCCCTGAGGGAGTGGCCCCATGACACACTGAGGGGGAGAGGCCCTGGGCGCAGCCTCAGCGTTTCTGGCGGGGTTACCTTCCACACGGAGCCTGGCTGTGCTCTTGGAGACCTCCGTCTCACACGTGTATTCTCCGGAATCTTTGAGCGAGGCCGCGTGGACGACCAGCACCGCCCGCGTGCCCTCGCTGAGCAGGTCATACTTCTGACTCTTGCGAATGGCTTTCCCGTCCTTCAGCCAGCGCACCGGGGAGTCCCCCCGTGACAGCTCACAGCTCAGCGTCGCATCCTCCCCCTCCACAGCCCGCTGGTCTTCCAAAGGCTTCGTGATGCCCGCCGGCCTTTCTGAAGGAACAAGAGGCAGCCCGTGAGGCCGGGCCACAGCCACGGCAGAGACGATGGCAGGGCTGGTGTTTGGAAACCTTCAGGCTCTGGAGGCCACGCCAGCAGACCAACAGCCTGAAATTCTAGGACATCAAACCCAGGCGCCCCGGAGCCTTGGAATGCCAGGAGTCCCACCGTGACAGGGAGGCCCTTTGAGGAGGAGACAGGAGAGCACAGGTGCTCTCGGCATTGTTCAGAGCGCGTGACACCGCGTAGCCATGGCTGGGGCCCGCTGTGAACCAGGCTTCACCGATCTGCACCAGCGTTTATGCTGGGAGCATGAGCTCAGTGGTTTCCCTGGCTCGGTGACCATGTGCCCCGGAGCTACCACAGCCATCGGACTACGGATGCGAGACCAGAAGCCCTGCTCCTGCCCCTAGATGACCAGAAACCCCGCATCCTGATTGGAGTTCTGGGACCCCAATGGTGGCTGAGGGGGATAGTCCCCTCTCTCTTCTCCCCCCCCCCCTCTTCTGGAAAGCTGCCCTGCCGAAGGCTCCCACTCCAGGCTGCCTGGGGAGAGTGGCCCGTCCGCCCAGTGCGTGGTGCCCACCTCGGACAAGGAGTGAGGCCTTGGAGGTGAGGCCGCGCACAGAGAAGACCACCTCCCCGGAGTCGCTCGGCAGCGCCTCGCGCACAGCCAGGGTGTACTTCCGGCCTTGGCGGGCAGCTCGGAAGCGGTCGGCGCTGCCCACTGTCTTCCCGCCGACCGTCCAGGTGGCAGTGTCACCCGTGTCCTCATGGGACAGGATGCACTCGAAGATGCAGCTCTCACCCTCGAGCACCTCCACGTTCTTCAGCCTCTTGGTGATGCCCACGTGCAGGTCTGCGAACCACGGGAGGCAGCGGTCACTCTGACCAGGCCCCAGATGCCTGCCCCTCAAGGCCAGCATCATTGAGCCCCATAATGTCCCAGAGGCTCCAATACCCACCCCACCCCACCCCCCAGCCGACTCTGCTGCCCCTCAGCCAATGCCCCCTTGGCCCCCAGCTGGCCACACCCTGGTGCTTGGATGGCCAATAGCTGTGAGCTCTGACCAGGGCACCGCCTCCCTGCTACAGAACAAGGGGCAGAGAACACAGCATCGGTTTTCGGTAGCTCACGAGCTCTGGAAGAGAAAGGACAGGCGCCCCGAGTGAAGGAGCCGTCTAGCTCTGGGACAAACCCACTGCACCACCCTCCCCCCTTTCCTGTCTCGTCTCAAAACCCGCCAGATGTCAGGCGCTCTCCACGGGGTCACGGAGAACAGGCCTGTCATGCATGTGGAAGGGGAACAAGAGCCAAGATAGCGACCACCTTGTTGGGGAAGAAGTCCCCGCCTGATACCCAAGCGGCTCGGGTGACCGGCTTCACCCCCGCCCACACACATCCCCTGGCGCACAGGGAATGTCTCCAGGTCCCTGTTGGAACCCGAGCTCTGCGGGACCCCATCAGGCACGGCTTAGCCCGCTTCACTCCGTTGCTATCGTCCCCGCTGACCTGCCTGCATCTGGGCCTCCTAAGGATCACGCCAAGCCCGCCCATTCTGAGTTCTGAGCCTGCCTGACCTCCCCGGCTCAGTGCAACAGCCTGGGCTTGAGTGGGCGGAGCCTCAGTGTGTGGCCGCGCCTTCCATACCAGCCACGCCCCACGCACCGTGCACACTGACGTGCGCGCAGGTCTCCTCGGCGCCCAGGTGGCAGGTGTACAGGCCCGCGTCGTCCAGGCTCAGGTCGTGGACCACCAGCCCGCGCGTGCCCGCCGTGTGCAGGAAGTCGTACTTGTCGCTGGGGCCCAGCTCCACGCCGTCCTTGCGCCACACCACGCCCGCCTGGGGGTCGGAGACCTCGCACTGCAGGGTCAGGGCGCTCTGCTCCACCGCCGACACGTCGTCCAGCGCCTTCAGGAACACCGCCGGCTTCGCTGCAGGACGAGGTGTCCGGAGGTGAGCGAAGGAGCCGCGGCCTCACCAGCGGAGACCCCCGGGGGGCCTCCCACAGACACCCCCCGCCTCTGCAGGCCGCCTCACCTCTGACCTCCAGGCGGGCAGTGGCCGTCACCTTGGGGGAGGAGACGCGCACGGTGCCCGCGTCCCCCCGCCTGACCCGCTTCAGCACCAGCGTGTGGCGGCGGCCCTCGTGGGAGATGTCGTGGAAGCTGTCGTTGTAGAGGGGCGTCCCGTTCAGCGACCACTCCACCTCCTCGTCCTCGTGGGAGAGCTCGCAGGAGAAGCAGGCGCGGCCCTCCTCCGCGGCCTCCGCGTCCTGCAGCGGCTGCGTCACCGTCACCTCCCGCACTGCCGAGGGCACACGGGGGCTCAGCGCCCGGCCCCGCCGCCCCCGGGCCCCTCGGGGCGGCCCTGCACCCCCGCCCCCCGCGCACCTTCCACGGTGACCTGGGCGCAGCTCTGGGCGTTACCGGCCTGGCACCGGTAGACGCCGGCGTCGGCGGGCGTGAGCCGCAGCACGCGCAGCTCCGCCATGTGGCCCTCCAGGCTCATCCTGAACTTGTCCGAGGCCACCAGCGGCGTGTCCTCCTTGTACCACTGCACGGCCTTGGGCGGCGGCTTGAAGTCGCAGGACAGCACCACGGACTGCAGCTCGCGGCCCGCCTTGGGCTCCAGCGGCCTCGTCAGCACCACAGGGATGTCTGCGCGGAGGGAGGAGAGAGAGAGCACGGGCGCTGCGGAGGGGCGGGGCCAGCGGGGCCTGGGACACCGCCGTCCGCTAGGGGCCCCTCCTGTGCCCGGGGGGCTGGGCCGCGCGCCCACCTGAGACCACCAGCTGGGCGGTGGTGCGCGACTTGCCGATGGTGAAGTGCACTGGCCCGGTCATGGTGGAGCAGGTGCGCCGCAGCGCCAGCCGGTGCACCGTGCCTTCCTGCTCTATGCCCACGTCCTTCCCCGCCTGCAGCGCCGTCTTCCCCAGCAGCCACTTGGGCGGCCGCACAGAGGGAATGGAGGTCTCGCACTCGAACCAGGCGGGGGCGGGCTCCATCACCGTCACGTCCTGCAGGCCCCGCACGATGGTGATGGATTGCTCTGTGGGCGAGAGGCAGCAGCTCGTCTGCAGGAGGAGCGCCCCCCGCCTGTGCTCCTTCCTGGGAACAAACCCTCCCTCCAAACACACCGTGCTCACATCCTCACCCTTCCCCATGCCCCCCAGACAGGCCCTTCTCAGACCCGGCTGCCTCCAGGCATCAGGGCCAATGCCAGAGGACAGCTGCCCACAGCCCCGCCCACACCTTCCACGAAGAACTGGGCAGAGGTCTTCACATCGCCAGCGTCGCAGGTATAGGTGTCCTCGTCCTCCGGCTGCACGTCGCTGATGACCAGCTTGCGGTAGAGGCCATCGCTGACCATCTCGTACTTGGGCCCGGCCCGCAGTTCCACGCCACCCTTGAACCACCGCACCTGGGCGCTGGCCCGAGACACCTGGCACTCAAGCACCCCGCGGTGCCTCTCCATGGCGATCTTGTCCCGCAGGGGGCGCAGAATGGTCACTGGCAGCTCTGTGGGCAAGCAGGGAGGGGTCAGGCGGGTGTCCCCTCAGGTCTGACCCCTTCCGTACCATTGCCTTGAAGAAAATAGGTGCACCCACACCTACCTTCCATCCTTCCCACCTCTTGCCGTGCCCCTCCTGCTGCCCCCTTGCCCTCTCCTGCGCATCCATGGCCCCGTGTGACCACCTCACCTGTCCACAGACTATCCCGCCCTCCCTCAGGCCTGGCCGCCGCCCTCTCCCGTCATCAAGGCCACCAGGGCCTCCTCTCCAGCACCTGGTGCAGCCCCGGGAGGGAGAACGCGCTGACATCTCCATGTCAAACAAGAAGGGCTGCTCCTCAGACCCCTGTCCTCCTGCAGCGGGGGCCACATCCTCTGCCTTCTCCTGGGTCACCCAGTCCTGTCCTGAGGGGGGGGGGGGGCTGCCCCAGGCCTGCGTCGGGACAGCTGGCACAGCACCCGTCTATGTTCTCACTTGGTGTCCAGCCCATGTCCTTCCTTGGGTCCCCCTTACCTCTCACTCGGAGCTGGGCTCGAGATTCTGCATTTTCGGCTACAAACCGGATTTCTCCTGCTTCTTCCACCAGGACCCTCCGGTAGATGAGCGTGTGTGTCCTTCCTGGGAACACGGACCGCTCAGCACCGGGGGAGGAGCACGGGGGGGGGGGGGAGAGGGGAAGAGGCCCTCCCACAGCCACCGCCCTGGCTGTCACACCTTCCTGGCGCATGCGCACGTTGTCGCTGGACCGGAGCTTACTGCCCTCCCGGAACCACTGAGCAGACACGTCGTCATGGGAGACCTCGCAGGAGAAGGTGGCGCTCTCCTTCTCCATCACCTCCACGTCCTCCAGGGGCCTCAGGATCTGGATGTTGCGTCCTGCGGCAGCGAGGGAGGCCCTGCTACACTGCAGCACCGCGCTGCCTGTCCCCCCCCACCCCCACCCGCAGCTTACTGAGTGCCAGAGGGTTGGCACCTCAATGGTGTGGTGCACCTGGCCCTGACCCCCCACACTGCCCAGGCCTCACCTTGCACCTTCAGGGATGCCGAGGTCTGAGCCTCGCGGGCGTCACACACATACACGCCCTGGTCCCCGGAGGCACACTGGTAAATGATGAGAGTCCGGCAGGTGCCCTTGGCTGCCATACCCACTGTCTTGCCAACCTGCAGCTCCACGCCATCCTGTGGGAGTACAAAACCCTGTCAGGTGCTGGGGGTGGCCCTCGTGGTGAGGAGTAGGATGGAGCAGAAGCGTCCAGGGACAGAGGCACCTTCAGCCAGCGCACGTCCACATTGGGGCGTGACAGCTCACACTCCAGGGTCACTCTGTCTTTCTCTGTGGCCACCACGTCCTGCAGTGGGCGGCTGAACCTCACAGGCAGCTCTGGGGAGGCAGAAGGAGATGAGAGAGGCAGGTGGAGCGGTGGAGGGGGGCTGAGCTGGACCAAATCACTCAGCTGGTTCTAGGAATGAGTGCCCTCCTCCCCTCGGTCCCCCAAGATTCCACACCCCGTCCCCACCTGCCTCCCCTCCGAGACAGGGACTGGGCAGTCTCCAGTGGGTCTCGCCCCCCCACACACACACACACCCGTGACCACCAGCCGCGCCGATGTGTGCACGCCCTGAGCCTTGAAGGCAATGAGACCCCCATCCTGTGGCCGCAGCTCTGACAGCGTGAGGGTGTGAACGGGGCCTTGCACTGCCAGCTGGCACGTGGGCCCCGGCTGTAGCCGAAGCCCGTCACGGGTCCAGCTGCCCTCTACGTCGGCGTGGGACAGCTCCACCTCCATGGTGGCGGAGCCCTGCTCCTGCACCTCCACGGCTTGCAGGCCCCGCAAGAGCTGCACCTGGCGCACTGCGGAGAAAGGAGGAAGGGTGTGCCCCTGCACCGAGAACCGCCCTCCCTCTCCTTCCCAGGGGCCTCAGCTCAGCGTGCTGCCCCGGAAGGGGAGGCCCACTCCCACCCACAGGAGGAGAGTTGCCCTCTCTGGAGGCCCACTTCATCCCCAGGCATACGACTCCTCCCCCTGCTAACCCTCCTTTTCCATCCCCTTCCCAGGGCCAGGTCCCCAGCGGGAAACTCGTTCCTCTCCATCCCTCCCCCGCTTCCCCTCGGTGCCAGACCCCAGACCCCTGCCCTGTGGCTCACTCTGTACTGTGAGCTTGGCCTGTGTCTTGTCATCTGGCGTCTCACAGCCATAGAAGCCGCGGTCAGCGAAACCCACGCTGCGGAGGACCAGGCGGTGACTGGCGCCCTCCGCGTGGATCGCCACGTTCTCGCTTGGGGATAGGGCAGCGGCATTGCGCGTCCACTTGACATCCGGCCAAGGCCTGGTCAGCTCTACCGCCAGGGTCACGGAGCCCCACTCCTCCACCGTCTGTGGCTCCAGCTTCTTCTTGAACAGCACGGGAGCCTCTGGGGTCAGGGAAAGGGCAGTCACACAGCCACTGCCACCCAGGAACACGCGGCACAGAGGGCCCCTGCCCAACCCAGCCCCCAGCGGCGGAGCAGGGCCCCAACCGCATTCTGACTCCACGCCAGGCGAGGCTTGAGCAGTCCTCAGGGCCCAGCTGCACAGTATCCTTCCGTGGAGGGAACGGAGACTACGGAGGCCTCTCCTTTCACACCCCCTCCCACCGCTGCTCCCCTGCTCTGAACAGCCCTGCCAGGCTCCCATGTCTGGAGCTCCTAAGGTGGTGACCAGTAGCCTCTGGGCACGGAGCTGGTGAGACAGGCTGAGAGTCCTCCCCTCCCCCAGACCAGTAGAATTAGCATCTCCACTCCATGGAGCTCTGGGAGCCAGAACATTAAGGGAGAGAAACACGCTGGAGTGGACCCCCCTGTCCCACACGGTGCCATGACCTCCCCAGAAAGCGCCTCTGCCCACATTGCTCCCACCTGTCCTCGGGTGAGGGCTGCTCTCACTGACAATCTGGCTTCATGGAGCAAAACTCTGCCCCTCCGGCCTCAGCGTGCCCTGGCTGCAACCCCACTGCCTCCCTCTCACTACCCATGGGCTCCTGTGGATCCTTCCGGACCAGGGACACACAGCGCGCCCGCTGACTCTTCTAAAGGAGGCGCCAGCCTTCCGTCCCGCCCCAGCTTCTCTGTGCAAACCTCGTGCTCCCTGAGATGGGCCAGGGCAGCAGGATGCCAGCCCACCCGTGAGGGGCCCACACTCCCACCCACCCCCCTGCCCCCGCACCTCGGACGCGGAGGGCAGCGGAGGATGTGACCCCCTCAGCCTCGGCGCTGATCTGGCCGGCGTCCTCCAGGACCAGCCCCGAGATGGTGAGGCTGTGGCAGGCGCCGCTCTGCGCCACCCGAAGCCTCTCGCTGGGCTGCAGCTGGGCGCCGTCCCGGAACCACAGCACCGCCACGTCGCCGGGGCTCACCACGCACTGGAAGGTGGCCTCCTGGCCCTCCTCCGCCACCACGGCGCTCAGGCCGGACGTGAACTTGACTTCGCGGGGGACTATGGACAGAGCCCCGCTTGAGAAGTTGGTGGGAGCAGCAGCGAGGCCCCACTGGCAGGCGCCCCGGAAGAGCACCTTCTCCGTGAAGCCCCGGAACGCCCAGCCCCGCGCCCCGCGCCCCGCGCCCCGCGCCCCGCGCCCCGCGCCCCGCGCCCCGCGCCCCGCGCCCCGCGCCCCGCGCCCCGCGCCCCGCGCCCCGCGCCCCGCGCCCGCCGTGGTGCGTACCGCGGACGGAGAGCCTGGCGCTGGTGCGGTCGTCGCGGCTCTCGCACACGTACTCGCCCGCATCCTCCGCCCGCAGGCCGGACACCGTGAGGGAGCGCCGGGGCCCCTCGGCCGCCATCTGGAAGCGCTTGCCCTCCCGCAGCTGCGTGCTCCCGCAGCGCCACACCACCTCGGCCTGCGCCGGGCTCAGCTCGCAGGCCAGTGTCACCGTGCCGCCCAGCTCCCCGCTCACCGGCTCCAGGGGCTGGCAGAACCTGGCGGCCACCTCTGCGGACGGGAAGGAGTCAGCCCGGAGGCCCCCTCTGTGCTTTCGTGCGCCCCGAGCCCCACCGGTACCCACCCCCGGACACCGCCCTCGGGAGACCCAGCAGGCGGGGTTCGCAGGGACCGCGCCGCCCGCTGACCTTCCACCTGCACCGGGAAGTCCTGCGCCGCGGCGCCCACGCGGCAGCTGTACACCGCGCTGTCCAGAGTCTGCGCGCCCCGCACCGTCAGCGTGTGCGTGTCCCCCAGGCTGGCCGTCTGGTGCCGCTTGCTGCGCCGGATCTCCACGCCGTCCTTGAGCCACGTCACCGCAGCCACGGAGGGCGCGGCCATCGTGGCAGTCAGGACGATGTCCTCGTGCTCTTTGACCACCACTAGCCCCCTGCGGTCGGGTCTCTCCGGGGCTGGGGGCTCAGGCTCTGGCTCTGGGGTGCAGCGAGGAGGAGCGGGAGGTTTAGTCATCAAGAAAGGGGGGGACCCTGCTTCCCTGGCCTGGTCCCTGCCTCCTTCCCGCCATTCCAAGGGAGAAGACCTGAAGTGGGACTGGCCCAAGCTCCAACTGCTATGCGATGCCTTGCTCACCCAGGGCTTGGCTGCTGCTTCCACTGAGCAGACCCAAGAGGGAATGCCTGATGGCCACCATCCAGGCTCTCGGGGCCATGAAGAGCAACCAAGAGGAGCCCCCTGCAGGGGACCGCAGGCCTGGAGCCACAGGCTCTAACCAAGAGCCTAGAGTCATGAATGGCTCCCTCCAGGGAGCCTGGGCCCAGGACAAAGGCTGCGCGGCTGAAACAGCCTGAGTGCCTCCGCGTGTGGGGGGGAGTGCGCAGCAGCGCCAATGGGGGAAGGGAAAGCCCTAGAAGGCGCCCGAGTGGGTCCTGTAAGAGCCCACCCAGGGCAGCACCTGAAGACATGCTGGCTGTATGATGGGGCCACACCTGGGCACAGGGCTGTGCCCGCCAGCTCAAGACAAACACCTGCAGCAGGACTCTGAAACCCAGCGGGGTGCTGTAAGGGGCAGGTAGCACACCAGCAGGACCAGGACCAGCCCAGGATGTGCCCCAGGAGAGGCCAGATCCCCGGACTGACTTAACAATTGCTGGACAATTAGGAACCCAAGGCCAGAGGTAGGGACCCAGACTCCACTGTGGAAAAAGGCATCCAAAGCCAGAGGCCCCTCTGCTGAGGGTCCCCAGAGCGAGGCTGGACTCCATAACTGCAAGGGGGGGCTGAAAACACAAAATTGTCTGCTCTAGGCCTCAGCCCTTCAGAGTCTGCAGAAGCCTCCATGAGAGGTTCCATTCTGGGGCGGCTGAGGAGGTGACAAAGAGGAGCAAAAATCTGGGACAAAAGATGTCCAGAATGCCTTGCACTAGGGGCTTCAACCCATGTCCCCAGTCACAACAGGTCGGTAGAGGACATACGTGTGAGGCAGGGCATGTCCATAGAAACCACAACAGGTGCAACCACACCAACAGTCCTTGCACAGCCTTTCCAGACATTGCCTGTCACTGATCGGCCAGGTACCTGTCCTCTCTGCCCAGGGAGGCAGGTGGGACCTACCTGGGACATCTAGACGAAATGTGACCTTCTGGCCCCCGGCCTCGCAGCTGTACTCCCCGCTGTCCCCCTTGGCCGCCTGCTGCAGCACCAGCCGCCGGGTGCAGCCCGTGGCCTCCACACGCACTTTTGAGCTCCCACTCAGCTTCTTGCCATCCTTGTACCACGTCACCTCCGCCTGGGCCTGGGCCACCTCGCAGCTCAGCGTGGCACTGGCCCCGGCCATGGCCTTCACCTCGCTGTGAGCAGACTGTTCCTTGGCAAACACCACCGTGGGCTCTGTGGACAGGAAGGCACATACAGGGTCAAATATATTTTCTAAATCAGGAGGACAGCACTCTGGATGCAAGGACTGAGTGGGGAGGTTGCAGGAAGGAAAAACCCTCAAGGTTCTGTGTGACCTGCAGAAGCCCCAGCACCTTCTCAGCACAAGTATCTCGTTCATCTGCACATTAACCACTGCCCAGGGGGCAGTTCCTGCTGGGGACACCGTGATGGACTTCTCCGGAGCACACACCCTCTAGCAGAGGGGCTTCAGGCCAGGAGGGGTGCACACACCCTCCCAGGTGGCCAAGTCTTTCCCGGATGTGCAGGGAGCATTCCCACCCAGCCAGGGACAGGTCCTGGGCTCCACCTCCCACCTGCCTCCCGTGTGGCACCTGCTGGCCTCCCAGGGCAGTGGTCAGCAAACTCATTAATCAACAGAGCCAAATATCAACAGTACAAAGACTGAAATTTCTTTTGAGAACCAAAAACCGACTTCTGTGCATGGGCCACGAAGTTCCAATCGCACTGTCCATGCGCGCCCTCAGGTGGTATTTTGTGGAAGAGCTACCCTCCAGAGGCCCAAGAGCCACATGTGGCTCTTGAGCTGCAGTTTGCAGACACTGTCCTAGGAGACTGAGCTGTGCCTCCTGAGCCTGTCTCTTCCTGGTTTGGATGACTCACAAAATGGTGCACCTTGGCTATGTTTTCGGTCTTCACTGTTTGCTCTTCTATGGTGTGTCTGCTATTGGGTGTTTGGGGCACCGTAATACTTCTCCCCACTCCCACCAAGTCTAATGATGTATCTTTTGCGTAAATCATATTATGTGAATTTCACACTTGTATATGTTTTACTTTATTTCCTGCTGACAAAAGTGGTGACTGTGAGCACCTTTGCCTAGTCCTTCAACTGTCACTTAGTGTCATTAGCTTGTTGTACTTCAGTGTCATTTATTAGAAAAAGGATGATCCCTTTTTTTATAATTGATTAAGAATCTTTGACATGAATAGATATTGATAAATATATCTTCTAGATTTGTGACATTAAATGTTATCAAAACTCAGCTCTGCACGGATGAGATGATCACTTCAAATTTTAGTTTCAATCTGCTCACATCATGAGTGAGGTTAATTTGCTGACCTTTGTGGTGCTCACACACCTGGGCTGTGACTTTCTTTATAGTGCATCATCCTGCCGGGACCGGTTTGGCTCAATGGATAGAGCGTCGGCTTGGGGACTGAAGGGTCCCGGGTTCGATTCCGGTCAAGGGCATGTGCAAGAGGGTCCAGTAGGGGTGTGCAAGAGGCAGCTGATTGATGACTCTCTCTCATTGATGTTTCTAACTCTCTATCTCTCTCCCTTTCTCTCTGTATAAAAATCAATAAAATATATTTAAAAAATAAAAAAATAAAAAAAATTACAGTGCATCATCCTCTTAAGACATTGCCCATACATTTTGATACTATAATACTTAGCTTCAGATATTGGCCTTGGCTTCCACAATGGATTGGCCCATTATTTGAACTCTCTGTATCAATCAGATGTTGGTGATAGATGTCATGCTGTTGCCACATAATAAGCAGGGACTCTCTGTCCTTCTCTAGCTCTAGAAGGATCTCCATGAACACCCAATAATTTCCTTACAGAATAGTTCGTATAATTTTCCTGTGGAGCCACTGGGGTTTCATCTTCACCTATAAGAACTTTTTTTTAAATTGTTGTTCAATTTATTTAAAAGGTTGTAGGAATATCAGAGCTGTCAAAATCTTATGTCAATTGTCACATAGTTTTCTAATAATTGGATCAAATTCTCAAACCTTTTCATATTTACTCCTACAAAATAATTTGTCATATTCTCTAAAGTAACAATTAAAAATGTATACTGGATTCTTTTGTATCTGTACACACCCAAAAGTTATTGTACACAGTCATAACATCAAACTATCATGTAGAAGCACCTGGAAGTCAATTTGAGGTTAAAACTCTCCTAATAAAATGAAAACAGAGTTAGTTCACAGACAGGGACAAATATACATGAGTCGTTAGGAAATACTATGGCATAAATACTGACGAAACAGTCAAGGGCTATCACTATAGTGACTTGTCTTGAACAAAGCGTGCAGTGTGGGAGAAGCTCCTTATTCCCCTCCATGTCTAAATCCGTACATCAGACTTCTGGGGGATTCTGACACAGGACACAAAAGGAAACCAATATGTGCTTTAGGAAGAGAATTCCAGACCTGACAGGTACAGGTCCCTGGCACACATCTGCCAATCCTCTGGTCCTTCTTCACATTTGCACAGACCTTACAAGAATACTCAGATCTAGATTTTGGGACAAGTGATGGTGCCAAACTTCTAAATCCACAAGCAAGGGTGTGCACTAAAAAGCTACAATTTGCCAACACACTGTTCAGTCTTGAGATGGATCCAAGTAAGACTGGGTGGCAGGAACTTCCACATATTCTCTTGTAAGGAAATTCAAATGTGTCTCTGCCCATGTTGCTGGGTGCAAGCATCTGGGAGCTACCAGGATGTGGGGAGTAGAAAATTCACATAACACAGGTAAGAGATGTCTGGTCTACCTCAGACTCCACCTGACAGGTAGAGCACGAGTCCCAGCTGGTGAGGAGCACCCAGAAGGCTCTGGCAGGTGATGGGAACCATGACTGAACAAAACCTGAACACCACTCCACGTGTACCATAGATATTGATAAATATATCTTCTTGATTTGTGACATTAAATGTTATCAAAACTCAGCTCTGCACTGATGAGATGATCACCGCTCCCTTCTGCTCACACTTTGACCACCCAGCCTGGTCTGGCCCCACCACTGGGATGATATAGGAGATGGAGGATAGAAGGCTAAAGAGGGAGGTCCAGTGGAAAGAGAGACAGGGTGTGCCCGGCTGTAGTCATTACCTACACACAAAGCTCAGTTAGTGCCACCAAAGAACTGACCTGGGACATCCAGATGGAAGGTGACCTTCTGGCCCCCGGCCTCGCAGCTGTACTCCCCGCTGTCCCCCTTGGCCGCCTGCTGCAGCACCAGCCGCCGGGTGCAGCCCGTGGCCTCCACACGCACTTTTGAGCTCCCACTCAGCTTCTTGCCATCCTTGTACCACGTCACCTCTGTCTGGGCCTGGGCCACCTCGCAGCTCAGCGTGGCACTGGCCCCGGCCATGGCCTTCACCTCGCTGTGAGCAGACTGCTCCTTGGCAAACACCACCTTGGGCTCTGTGGACAGGAAGGCACACACAGGGTCAAAGATATTTTCTAAATCAAGAGGACAGCACTCTGGACGCAAGGACTAAGCAGGGAGGTGGCAGGACAGGGAAACCCTCAAGGCTCTTTGTGGCCTGCAGAAGCCACAGCACCTTCTCAGCACAAGTAGCTCATTCATCTGCACATTGACCCCTACCCCAGGGGTGGTCCCTGCTGTGGACACTGGGAAGGACTTCTCCAAAGCACACACCCTCCAGCAGAGGGGCTTCAGGCCAGGAGGGGTGCACACACCCTCCCCAGGTGGCCAAGTCTTTCCCGGATGTGCAGGGAGCATTCCCACCCAGCCAGGGACAGGTCCTGGGCTCCACCTCCCACCTGCCTTCCGTGTGTCACCTGCTGGCCTCCCAGGGGACTGAGCTGAGCTGGGGTAGGGGTCAATGTGCAGATGAATGAGCTACTTGTGCTGAGAAGGTGCTGGGGCTCCTGAGCCTGTCTCTTCCATGGTGTGGATGACTCACAAAGTGGTGGGCCTTGGCTATGTTTATGGTCTTTACTGTTTGCTCTTCGATGGTGTGTCTGTTATTGGGATTTGGGGGCACAATAATACTTTTTCCCACTCCCACCAAGTCTAATGATGTATCTTTTGCATAAGTCATATTATCTGAATTTGACTTCACTTTTTCACACTTTTATACGTTTTATTTCCTGCTGACAAAAGTGGTGACTGTGAGCCCCATTGACTGTTCCTTCTCTCAGAAGGAAAGCTTTCAAGTGTCAGTATCATTAGCTGGTTTTCCATCAGGATCATTTATCAGAAGAAGAATGAATTGTTTTCTTTATAATTGGTTAAGAATCTATGGTATTGCTGAAACCGGTTTAGCTCAGTGGTAGAGTGTCCATCTGCAGACTGAAAGGTCCCAGGTTCGATTCCGGTCAAGGCCATGTACCTGAGTTGCGGGCACATCCCCAGTAGGGGGTGGGCAAGAGGCAGCTGGTCGATGTTTCTCTCTCATCGAGGTTTCTAGCTCTCTATATTTCTCCCTTCCTCTCTGTAAAAAAATCAATAAAATATATTTTTTAAAAAGTAAAGAAGGAGCAGAGGATTGGCTGGGGTGTGCTGTGGACCTGCACATGTGAGGTCTGGAATTCTCTTCTTAAAGTACATCTTGGTTTCTTTTTGTGTCCTGTGTCATAATCCCCCGGGAGTCTGATGTACAGATTTAGACATGGAGAGGAGTAAGGAGCTTCTCCCACACTGCACACCTTGTTGAAGACAAGGAACTATACCGACAGCCCTTGAGTGTTTTGTCAGTATTTATGCCATAGTGTTTCCTAACAACTCATGTGTATTCATCCCTGTCTGCTTTGTTCACAGAGAGGTCTGTGAACTAACTGTGTTTTCATTTTGTTAGGAGAGTTTTAACCTCAAATCGACTTTCAGGTGCCTCTACATAATAGTGTAGTGTTATATCTGTGTAAAATAACTTGTGGGTGTGTATACATACAAAAATTCCACTATACATTTTTAATTGTTACTTTAGGAGAATATGACAAATTATTTTGTCGGAGTAATTTATGAAAAATTTTGAGAAATTGACCAAATTATTACAAAACTATATGAAAGTGTTATAAGATTTTGACAACTAAAATAGTCCTACAATTCTTTTCAGTAAATGGAACCACCTTAAAAGTTCTTATAGGTGAAGATGACACCCAGTGGCTCCACAGGAAAATTATATGAACTATTCTGTAAGGAAATTATTGCATGCTCATGGAGATCCTTCTACAGCTAGAGAAGGACAAAGAGTCCCTGGCTTATTACGTGGCACCAGCATGACATTTATCATCAACATCTGATAGGGACAGTTCAAATAATGGGCCAATCCACTGTGGAGGACAAGGCCAACATCTGAAGCTAAGTAGTATCAAAATGAATGGGCAATGTATTACCAGGGCGATTCACTATAAAAAAGTCTCGGCCCCGCTGTGTGAGCACCACAAAGGTCAGCAAATCAACCTCACTCATGATGTGAGCAGATTGAAACTGAAATAGAAAGTGATCGCCTCATCAGTGCAGAGCTGAGTTTTGATAACATTTAATATCAGAAATCTAGAAGAAATATTTATCAATAACTATGCCATAGATTCCATGTGAAAGGTAGAGGTGAGGAGCTGGTAAGAAGCACCCAGTAGGCTCTGGAGGGTGCTAGGAACCATGACTGAGCAAAACCTGAGCACCACTCTGCGTGTACAAGATCACCTCTCCCTTCTGCTCACACTCTGACCACCCAGCCTGGTCTGGCTCCACCACTGGGATGATATGGGAGATGGAGAATAGAAGGCTAAAGAGGGAGGTCCAGTGGAAAGAGAGACAGGGTGTGTCCGGCTGTAGTCACTACCCTCACACAAAGCTCAGTTAGTGCCACCAAAGAACTGACCTGGGACATCCAGATGGAAGGTGACCTTCTGGCCCCCGGCCTCGCAGCTGTACTCCCCGCTGTCCCCCTTGGCCGCCTGCTGCAGCACCAGCCGCCGGGTGCAGCCCGTGGCCTCCACACGCACTTTTGAGCTCCCACTCAGCTTCTTGCCATCCTTGTACCACGTCACCTCCGTCTGGGCCTGGGCCACCTCGCAGCTCAGCGTGGCACTGGCCCCGGCCATGGCCTTCACCTCGCTGTGTGCAGACTGCTCCTTGGCAAACACCACCTTGGGCTCTGGGAACAAGAATGGACACACAGGGTCAAAGTTACTTTCTAAATCAGGAGGACAGCACTGGGTCAGAAGGACTAAGGAGGGAGATGGCAGGACAGGGAAATCCTCAAGGCTCTGTGTGACCTGCAGAAGCCCCAGCACCTTCTCAGCACAAGTAGCTCATTCATCTGCACACTGACCCCTGCCCAGGGGGGTGACCCCTGCTGGGGACACAGTGATGGACTTCTCCGGAGCACACACCCTCTAGCAGAGGGACTTCAGGCCAGGAGGGGTGCACACACCCTCCCCAGGTGACCAAGTCTTTCCCAGATGTGCAGGGAGCATTCCCACCCAGCCAGGGACAGGTCTTTGGATCCACCTCCCACCTGCCTCCCATGTGTCACCTGCTGGCCTCACAGGGGACTGAGCTGTGCCTCCTGAGCCTGTCTCTTCCATGGTGTGGATGACTCACAAAATGGTGCACCTTGGCTATGTTTTCGGTCTTCACTGTTTGCTCTTCTATGGTGTGTCTGTTATTGGATGTTTGGGGCACCATAATACTTCTCCCCACTCCCACCAACTCTAATGATTTATTATTTGTGTAAATCATATTATCTGAATTTCATTTCAGTTTTTTATATTTTTATAAGATTTACCCTGTTTCCCCGAAAATAAGACAGTGTCTTATATTAATTTTTGCTCCCATTGATGTGCTAGGTCTTATTTTCAGGGGATGTCTTATTTTTCCATGAAGAAGAATATGGTACACATTTATTGTTAAATGAAAATAAAGGAAATTTATTACCTGTATACGGTACGGTAGTACGGTACTTGTCAACACAAACCAGACAAACTGTGAATCCTACAGTATCAAGAACTTACTCATTTATTCAATGACAACCATGTCATCATCTTCTGGAACATCATCATAACAATCTAATTCCTGAATTTCCTAGTGAATTTCTTGTGACTCCATTTCTTTCAGAATCAGTGGACCAAATCTCTCATGTTTAGCAATAGCTTTCTGAGACAGAGCCTAGGGGGGGCCTTATTTTTTTGGGGGATGCCTTATATTTCACTCAGAAGGAAACCTGTAAGTAAACCTGAATAAAACATTCGGAGGATGTTTTATTTTTGGGGAAACACGCTACTTTATTAGAAAGAAACCAAGATGGCGGCCTAGGTAAACACCTAAGCTGCCACCTCATACAACAATTTCAAAACAAAAACTGAGGCGTCCCTGGTGGTCTAGTGGTTAGGATTCGGCGCTCTCTCAAAACAAAAACTGAAAGACAGAATGGACATCATCCAAAACCACAGGAAAGCTGGAGGAGTTGGAAATCTAAAACTAGAAAGAAGGACAGAGGCTCACGGATTGGAATGGGAGCCTCAAAATGCTGAGGTAGGGAGATGCTCCTGTGCAGACAAGAAGGGCTGCTGAATACCTGGCTGGCTTGAGGGGAAAGGAAGTCCCCAAATGCAATGAACCTTTTCTGATTGTACTGAACCCCAACCGTGGTCGAAACCCCGGGGACCCAGGCTCATACGGGTGGAGTCCGGATTGTAGAAAAAGGCACTTGGAGACTTAGAGACTGGGAGACTAGGGTAGCTAGGAGCCACAGCGGGCAGGGTCTACAGTTGCGCGTGAGTGAGTACGCGCAGAGATCTGACCACGGAGATTGCTGCTGCCTCTTCATAGCGGAAGGAATCAGAAGCTCCAGACTACAGAGACCCAATGCAATTCCGGGCGAACCCCTGGGGCACCCACGCTCTTGCATGAGGAATTTGGACGGTCAGGTGGAAACTCAGGGGAGCCGCAGAAGGCAGAGGTCAGGTGGAAACTCAGGTGAGTGCATAAGGGCAGGGCTGATGGGAAGCCAAAACTGTCAGCTCACCCCTGAGACTCTGCCCCATCCAAGCTGAGCACAGAGGCTTTTGCAGTTTTGCAAGTCTGATCCTATAAGACTGTCTCCAATACAGAAGATATCCCGGAGTAGACACAGCTGATACTCACATCCAATGGGCCTGGAGGTCAATTCCTCCCAGTGATACCAACAACAATCAAGTCTTAACTACAAAAAAGGCTGTACACACAGGCCACAAAGGAGAGCACCAAGAGTGTCTACCTCAGGTAACTGAGGAGGCTGACCCACTGGGCCATATAGGACACCAAATACACAAAGCCATCCTACCAACTCTGGGAAGCAGTGAAAATGCCGAGACAAGGAAATAGATCTCTAACGAAAGAGAGGGAGGAGAACAAAAGACTGGATATAGAGTTCAAAACCACGGCTATAAGGTTTTTCAAGAATTTCTTAGAAAAGGCTGATAAATTTAATGAGATCCAACTATAAATTAAACATAAACTGACTGAAATAAAAAATATACAGAGATACAACAGCAGACTGGAGAAACACAAGAATAAAGTCAAAAATTTGGAATACAAAGAGCCAAAGGACACTCCTCTGGAAAAGCAAGAAGAAAGAGAATCCAGAAAGTTGAAGATAGTGTAAGGAGCCTCTGGGACAACTTCAAGCATACCAACATCAGAATTATGGGGGTGCCAGAAGAAGAGAGAGTGCAAGATACTGAAAACATATTTGAAAAAATAATGTCAGAAAACTTCCCCCACCTGGTGAAAGAAATAGACTTACAAGTACAGGAAGCACACAGAACCCCAAACAAAAGGGATCCAAAGAAGACCAGACAAGACACATCATAACTAAAATGCCAAGGGCAAAAGACAAAGAGAGAATCTAACAAGCAGCAAGAGAAAAGCAATTGGTTACCTATAAGGGAGCACCCATACGACTATCAGCTGATTTCTCAACAGAACTATGCAAGGGAGTGGCAAGAAATATTCAAAGTGATGAATAGTGAGAACCTACAACCAAGATTACTGTATCCAGCAAAGTTATCATTCAGAATTGAAGGGAAGATAAAGAGCTTCACAGATAAGAAAAAGCTAAAGGAGTTCATCACCACCAAACCAGTATTATATGAAATGCTGAAAGGTATTCTTTAAGAAGAGGAAGAAGAAGAAAAAAGATTTTAAAAAAATTATGATCAACAAATACATATATATCAACAAGTGAATCTAAATATCAAGTGAATTAAAAATCTGAAGAATAGAATAAACTGATGAATATAATAGAATCAGGGGCAAAGAAAGGGAGTTGACTGATAATTATCAGGGGAAAAGGGATGTGGGGGTGCAGGAAGAGACTGGATTAAAATCATACACCTATGGATGAGGACAATGAGGGGAGGGGAAAGGGAGATATAAGCAGGGGGGTGGCGGGCACCGGGTGGAAGAGAGCTATGGGGGGGGGGGGGAAGGAGAAACAATTGTAATAATCTGAGCAATAAATATTTATTAATAAAATAAAATAAAAAATAAAGATTTATTTTATTTCCTGCTGACAAAAGTGGTGCCTGTGAGCCCTCTTGCCTGTTTCTGCTCTAATAAGCAAAGTTTGCAAGTGTCACGTAGTGTAATTAGCTTGTTTTCGTTCAGTATCATTTATCAGAAGGATGAACTGTTTTCTTTATAATTGATTAAGAATCTATGACAGGAATAGATATTGATAAACATTTCTTCTAGATTTGTGACATTAAATGTTATCAAAACTCAGCTCTACACTGGTGAGGTGATCACTTCATATTTTAGTTTCAATCTGCTCATGTCATGAGAGAGGTTGATTTGCTGACTTTCATTCATAGTGCTCACACAGCTGGGCTGTGAATTTTTTATACTGCATTGTCCTTTTAATACATTGCCCATTCATTTTGACACTACTTAGTTTCAGATTTTGGCCTTGGTTTCCAAAAAGGATTTACCCATTATTTGAACTCTCCCTATCAATCAGATGTTGGTGATAAATGTCATGCTGGTGCCACATATTAAGCCAGGGACTCTATGTCCTTCTCTAGCAATAGAAAGATCTCCATGAACATGCAATAATTCCTTTACAGAATGGTTCATATAATTTTCTTTTTTTAAAATAATATTTTAAAATATATTTTTATTGATTTTTTTTACAGAGAGGAAAGGAGAGGGATAGAGAGCTAGAAACATCGATGAGAGAGAACATCAACCAGCTGCCTTCTGCACACTCTCCACTGGGGATGTGCCTGCAACCAATATACATGCCCTTGATCGGAATAGAACCTGGGACCTCTCAATCCGCAGACCGATGCTCTATCCACTGAGCCAAACCGGTTTTGGCGGTTCATATAATTTTCCATTGGAGCCACTGGGGTGTCATCTTCACCTGTAAGAACTATTTTTTATTGTGGTTCCATTTATTAAAAAGGATTGTAGAACTATTTAAGCTATCAAAATCGTATGCCACTTTCATATAATGTTCTAATAATTTGTTAAATTTCTCAAACCTTTCATATTTATTCCTACAAAATCATTTGTCATATTCTCCTAAAGTAACAATTAAAAATGTATAGTGAATTTTTTCTGTATGTATAATACCCACAAGTTGTTTTACACAGATATAACACTTCACTGTTATGTAGAGGCACCTGAAAGTCGATTTGAGGTTAAAACTCTCCTAGCAAAATGAAAACACAGTTCACAGACATCTCTGTGAACAAAGCAGACAGGGATGAATACACATGAGTCGTTAGGAAACACTATGGCATAAATACTGACTCAACTATTGCTATAGTTAACTTGCCTTCAACAAGGCGTGCAGTGTGGGAGAAGCTCTTTATTCCCCTCTATGTCTAAATCTATACATTAGAATCCCAGGGGATTCTGACAGGACACAAAAGGAAACCAAGATGTACTTTAAGAAGAGAATGCCAGACCTCACATGTGCAGGTCCACGGCACACACCTGCCAACACTGCTCCTTCTTTACTTTTTGCAAAGACCTTTCAAGAAATCATGGATCTAGATTTTGCAATGAGTGAGGATCCAGCAACTTCTACATCCACACACAAAGACATGCCCTAAAAAGCTACAATTTGCTAACACACAGTTCAGTCTTGAAATTGATGCAAGTAAGACTGGGTGGAAGGAACTTCCCCATAAAATGTTGTAAGGAAAGCCAAACCTGTCTCTGCCCATGTTGATGGATGCGGGCATCTGAGAGCTAGCAGTACGTGGGGAGTAGGAAATTCACATGACACAGGTAAGAAATGTCTGGTCTACCTCAGACTCCATGTGACAGGTAGAGCCTGAGTCCCGGCTGGTGAGGAGCACACAGAAGGCTCTGGCAGGTGCTGGGAACCATGACTGAGCAAAACCTGAGCACCTCTCTGTGTTTACAGGATCGCCACACCCTTCTGCTCACACTCTGCCCACCCAGCCTGGTCTGGCCCCACCACTGAGATGATAGTGGAGATGGAGAATAGAAGGCTAAAGAGGGAGGTCCAGTGGAAAGAGAGACAGGGTGTGCCCGGCTGTAGTCATTACCTACACACAAAGCTCAGTTAGTGCCACCAAAGAACTGACCTGGGACATCCAGATGGAAGGTGACCTTCTGGCCCCCGGCCTCGCAGCTGTACTCCCCGCTGTCCCCCTTGGCCGCCTGCTGCAGCACCAGCCGCCGGGTGCAGCCCGTGGCCTCCACACGCACTTTTGAGCTCCCACTCAGCTTCTTGCCATCCTTGTACCACGTCACCTCCGTCTGGGCCTGGGCCACCTCGCAGCTCAGCGTGGCACTGGCCCCGGCCATGGCCTTCACCTCGCTGTGTGCAGACTGCTCCTTGGCAAACACCACCTTGGGCTCTGCAGACAGGGAGGCACACACAGGGTCAAAGATATTTTCTAAATCAGGAGGACAGCACTGGGTCAGAAGGACTAAGGAGGGAGATGGCAGGACAGGGAAATCCTCAAGGCTCAGTGTGACCTGCAGAAGCCCCAGCACCTTCTCAGCATAAGTACTCATTCATCTGCACACTGACCCCTGCCCAGGGGGCGGTCCCTGCTGGGGACACAGTGATGGACTTCTCAGGAGCACACACCCTCTAGCAGAGGGACTTCAGGCCATGAGGGGTGCACACACCCTCCCCAGGTGACCAAGTCTTTCCCGGATGTGCAGGAAGCATTCCCACCCAGCCAGGGACAGGTCCTGGGCTCCCCCTCCCACCTGCCTTCTGTGTGTCACCTGCTGGCCTTCCAGGGGACTGAGCTGTGCTTCCTGAGCCTGTCTCTTCCATGGTGTGAATGACTCACAAAGTGGTGAGCCTTGACTATGTTTTTAGTCTTTACTGTTTGCTCTTCTGTGGTGTGTCTGTTCATGGGTGTTTGGGGCACCATAATACTTCTCCCCACTCCCACCAAGTCTAATGATGTATATTTTGGGTAAATAATTATTATCTCAATTTGACTTCAGTTTTTCACACTTTTATACATTTTACTTTATTTCCTGCTAACAAAAGTGGTAACTGTGAGCCCCCTTCCTGTTCCTGCTCTAACAAGCAAAGTTTGCAAGTGTCACGTAGTGTCATTAGGTGGTTTTCCTTCAGTATCATTTATCAGAAGAAGGATGAACTGTTTTCTTTATAATAGGACAAGAATCTATGGCACGAATAGATAAACAATTCTTCTAGATGTCTGACGTTAAATATTATCAAAACTTAACTCTGCACTGATTAGACGATCACTTCATATTTTAGTTTCAATCTGATATTGTCATGAGTGAAGTTGATTTTCTGACCTTTGCAGTGCTCACACAGCTGGGCTGAGACTTTTACATACTGCATCATTCTCAATATAATGCCAATCCATTTTGATAGTACCTAGCTTCAGATGTTGGCATTGGTCTCCACAATAGATTGGCACTTAATTTGAACTCTCCTTATCAAATATTGGTGATAGATGTCATGCTGATGCCACATATTGTGCCAGGGACTCTAAGTCCTTCTATACTTCTAGAAATATCTCCATGAACATGCAATAATTTCTTTAGAGAAAGGTTAATATAATTTTCCATTGGAGCCACTAGGGTGTCATCTTGACCTATATAAACTATTTTTTTTATTGTGGTTCATTTTATTGAAAAGGATTGCAGAACTATGTGAACTGTCAAAATCTTATGCACATTCATATAGTTTTCTAATAATTTGGTAAATTTCTCAAACCTTTTCATATTTACTCCTACAAAATAATTTGTCATATTCTTCTAAAGTAACAATTAAAAATGTATAGTGATTTTTTTTTATCTATACATGACCACAAGTTATTTTACACAGATATAAAACTACACCATTATGTAGAGGCACCTGGAAGTCAATTTGAGATTTAAACTCTCCTAACAAAATGAAAACACAGTTAGTTCACAGACATCTCTGTGAACAAAGAAGACAGGGATAAATATACATGAGTCATTAGGAAATACTATGACATAAATACTGACTCAACAGTCAAGGGCTATCGCTATAGTAGCTTGTCCTCAACAAGCCGTGCAGTGTGGGAGAAGCTCCTTATTCCCTTCCATGTCTAAATCTATACATCAGACTCACAGGGCATTCTGACACAGGACACAAAAGGAAACCAAGGTGTACTTTAGGAAGATACTGCAGACCTCAAGGGTGCACACACCTGACAATCCTCTGGTCTCTGTTTACTTTTTGCACAATTTTGAAGAAATCGTGGATCTAGATTTTGGGACAAGTGAGGATCCAGTAACTTCTACATCCAAACGCAAGGAAGTGCCCTAAAAAGCTACAAATTGGCTAACACAGTGTTCAGTCTTGAAATTGATGCAAGTAAGACTGGGTGGCAGGAACTTCCCCATATTCTGTTGTAATGAAATTCAAACGTGTCTTTGCCCTTGTAGCTGGGTGCGGGAATCTGGGAACTACCAGGATGTGGGGAATAGGAAACTCACATGACACAGGTAAGAGACGTCTGGTCTACCTCAGACTCCATGTGAAAGGTAGAGCACGAGTCCCAGCTGGTGAGGAGCACCCAGAAGGCTCTGGCAGGTGCTGGGAACCATGACTGAGCAAAACCTGAGCACCACTCCGCGTGTACAGGATCACCTCTCCCTTCTGCTCACATTCTGACCACCCAGCCTGGTCTGGCCCCACCACTGGGATGATATGGGAGATGGAGGATAGAAGGCTAAAGAGGGAGGTCCAGTGGAAAGAGAGACAGGGTGTGTCCGGCTGTAGTCATTACCTACACACAAAACTTAGTTAGTGCCACCAAAGAACTGACCTGGGACATCCAGATGGAAGGTGACCTTCTGGCCCCCGGCCTCGCAGCTGTACTCCCCGCTGTCCCCCTTGGCCGCCTGCTGCAGCACCAGCCGCCGGGTGCAGCCCGTGGCCTCCACACGCACTTTTGAGCTCCCACTCAGCTTCTTGCCATCCTTGTACCACGTCACCTCCGTCTGGGCCTGGGCCACCTCGCAGCTCAGCGTGGCACTGGCCCCGGCCATGGCCTTCACCTCGCTGTGAGCAGACTGCTCCTTGGCAAACACCACCTTGGGCTCTGCAGACAGGGAGGCACACACAGGGTCAAAGATATTTTCTAAATCAGGAGGACAGGACTTGGGACACAAGCACTAAGCAGGGAGTTGGCAGGATGGGAAAATCCTCAAGGTTCTGTGTGACCTGCAGAAGCCCCAGCACCTTCTCAGCACAAGTAGCTCATTCATCTGCACATTGACCACTGCCCCAGGGTGGTCCCTGCTGTGGACACTGGGAAGGACTTCTCCAAAGCACACACCCTCCAGCAGAGGGACTTCAGACCATTAGGTATACACAAGTCCTCAAGTGACCAAGTCTTTCCTGGATGTGCAGGGAGCATTCCCACCCAGCCAGGGACAGGTCCTGGGCTCCACCTCCCACCTGCCTCCCGTGTGTCACCTGCTGGCCTCCCAGGGGACTGAGCTGTGCCTCCTGAGCCTGTCTCTTCCATGGTGTGAATGACTCACAAAGTGGTGGACCTTGGCTATGTTTATGCTCTGTACTCTTTGCTCTTCTGTGTTGTGTCTGTTATTGGGATTGAGGGAACCATAATATTCTTCCCATTCCCACAAAGTCTAATGATGTATCTTTGTGTAAATCATATTATCTGAATTTTACTTTAGGTTTTCACACTTTTATATGATTTAGTTTATTTTCCTCTGACACAGTTGGTGACTGTGAGCCCCATTGCCTCCTCCTGCTCTCAGAAGCAAAGCTTTTAAGTGTCACTTTTTGTCATTAGCTGGTTTTCCTTCAGAATCATTTATCATTAGAAGGATGAACCATTTTATTTATAACTAGAGTCCCAGTGCACAAAATTTGTGCACAGGTATGGTCAGTAGGCCTGGCCAGCAATTTAGGCCTCTGGGGCATTCTGGCTGCAGGCCTGGGCCTTCCTTTGTTCAGCACATGTCACAGTGAGTGATCAAACAACTAGTCTCTCAGTCAAATTCTCGAGGGAACACTGCATATTAGGCTTTTATATATATAGATTGGTTAAGAATCTATTGCATGAATAGATATTGATGAACATTTCTTCTAGATTTCTGACATTAAGTGTTATCAAAATTCAACTCTGCACTAATGAGATGATTACTTCATATTTTAGTTTCAGTCTGCTCATGTCATGAGTGATGTTGATGTGCTGACCTTTGTAGTGCTCACACAGCTAGGCCGTGACTTTCTTTACACTGCATCATCCTCTTAATACATTGCCCATTCATTTGGATAATACCTAGCTTCATATTTTGGCCTTGGTATCCACAATGGATTGGCCCATAATTTGAACTCTTCCTATCAGATATTATGAGGGTGCCACGTAGTAAGCCAGAGACAGTATGTCATTCTCTATCTCTAGAAGGATCTCCATGAACATACAATAATGTCCTTACATAATAGTTCATATTCACCCAGTGTCATCTTCACCTATAAGAACTTCCATTTATTGTGGTTCCATTTATTGCAACACTTGTAGGACTATTTTAGCTGTCAAAAATCTTTTGCCACATTTCATAGAGTGTTCTAATAATCTGGTCAATTTCTCAAACATTTTCATGTTTACTCCTATAAAATAACTTATCATATTCTCCTAAATTAAAATTTTTTAAATGTATAGTGGGTTTGTTTGTATCTATACACAGGCACAAGCTTTTGTTTACAGATATAACATCAAACTGTTATGTAGAGGCACAGAGAAGTCATTTGAGGTTAAAACTCTCCTAACAAAATGAAAAATCAGTTAATGCACAGACATCTCTGTGAACAAACCAGAGAGGAACAAATACACATGAGTTGTATAGCATAAATACTGACAAAATAGTCAAGGACTATCGCTATAGTGACTTGTCTTCAACAGGGTGTGCAGAGTGGGAGAAGTTCCTTATTCCCCTCCATGATTAAATCTATACATCAGACTCCCAGGGGATTCTGACACAGAAACAAAAGAAAACTAAGATATTTCAGTCCTCACAGGTGCAGGTCCCCAACACACATCTGCTAATCTTATCCGTCTTCTTTACTTTTTGAACAGAATATGCAAGAAAACATGGATCTAGATTTTGTGACAAGTAAGGATCCAGTAACTTCTATATCCACACGCAAGGGAGTGCCCTAAAAAAACAACTATTTGTGAACACACTGTTCAGTCTTAAGATGGATGCAAGAAAGACTCAGTGTCAGGAACTTCCCCATAAATGTTGTAAGGAAATTCAAAAATGTCTCTGCCCATGTTGCTGGGTGCGGGCATTTGGGAGCTAACTGGACATGAAAGGTAGGAAATTCACATGACACAGGTAAGAGACGTCTGGTTTATCTCAGACTCCATGTGACAGGTAGAGTCCAAGTCCCGGATGGAGAGGAGCACCCAAAAGGCTCTGGAAGGTGCTGGGAACCATGACTGAGCAAAACCTAAGCAACACTCCACGTGCACAGGATCACCTCTCCCTTCTGCTCACACTCTGCCCACCCAGCCTGGTCTGGCCCCACCACTGGGATGATATGGGAGATGGAGGATAGAAGGCTAAAGAGGTGAGGTCCAGTGGAAAGAGCACCAGGGTGTGCCCGTCTGTAGTCATTACCTACACACAAAGCTCAGTTAGTGCCACCAAAGAACTGACCTGGGACATCCAGATGGAAGGTGACCTTCTGGCCCCCGGCCTCACAGCTGTACTCCCCGCTGTCCCCCTTGGCCGCCTGCTGCAGCACCAGCCGCCGGGTGCAGCCCGTGGCCTCCACACGCACTTTTGAGCTCCCATTCAGCTTCTTGCCATCCTTGTACCACGTCACCTCCGTCTGGGCCTGCGCCACTTCACAGCTCAACGTGGCACTGGCCCCGGCCATGGCCTTCACCTCACTGTGTGCAGACTGCTCCTTGGCAAACACCACCTTGGGCTCTGCAGACAGGGAGGCACACACAGGGTCAAAGATATCTTCTAAATCAGGAAGACAGGACTTGGGACACAAGCACTAAGCAGGGAGTTGGCAGGATGGGAAAATCCTCAAGGCTCTGTGTGACCTGCAGAAGACCCAGCACCTTCTCAGCACAACTAGCTCATTCATCTGCACATTGACCACTGCCCAGGGGGCGGTGCCTGCTGTGGACACTGGGAAGGACTTCTCCGAAGCACACACCCTCCAGCAGAGGGGCTCCAGGCCAGGAGGGGTGCACACACCCTCCCAGGTGACCAAGTCTTTCCCGGATGTGCAGGGAGCATTCCCACCCAGCCAGGGACAGGTCCTGGGCTCCCCCTCCCACCTGCCTTCCGTGTGTCACCTGCTGGCCTCCCAGGGGACTGAGCTGTGCCTCCTGAGCCTGTCTCTTCCATGGTGTGGATGACTCACAAAGTGGTGGGCCTTGGCTATGTTTACGGGCTGTATCTTTGCTCCTCTGTGGTGTGTCTGTTATTTGGACTGGGGGCACTGTAGTACTTCTCCCCACTCCCACCAAGTCTAATGTTTCTTTTGCATAAATCATATTATCTGATTTTCACTTCAATTTTTTCACACTTTTATACATTGCACTGTATTTCCCACTGACAAATTTGGTGACTTGAGCTCCATTGCCTCTTCTTGCTCTCAGAAGCAAGGCTTTCAAGTGTCACTTATTGTCATTAGCTGGCTTTCCTTCAGTATAATTTATCAGTAGAAGGTTGAACCATTTTATTTATAACTAGAGTCCCAGTGCACAAAATTTGTGCATGGGTATGATCACTAGACCTTGCCAGCGATTTAGGCCTCTCAGGGCCTTTTGGCTGCAGCCTGAGCCTTCCTTTGTTCTAGGCCACCCACTAGTGGTCAGCATATGTCACAGTGAGTGATTGAACAACTAGTCTCTCAGTCACATTCTCGAGGGAACATTTCACATATTAGGTTTTTATATATATAGATTGGTTAAGAATTTATTGCATGAATAGCTATTGATGAACATTTCTTCTAGATTTCTGACATTGTTATCAAAACTCAACTCTGCACTGGTGAGATGATTGCTTCATATTTTAGTTTCAGTCTACTCATGTCATGAGTGATGTTGATTTGCTGACCTTTGTAGTGCTCACACAGGGAGGCTGTGACTTTCTTTATATTGCCTAGTCCTTTTAATTCATTGCCCATTCATTTTGATAACACCTAGCTTCATGTTTTGGCCTTGGTTTCCATAATGGATTGGCCCATGATTTGAACTCTCCCTAACAGATGTCATGAGGATGCCACGTAGTAAGCCAGAGACTGTATGTCCTTCTCTAGCTTTAGAAGCATCTCCATGAACATGCAATAATGTCCTTACATAATAGTTCATATAATTTTACAGTGGAGCCAATAAGAACTTCTATTTATTGTGGTTCCATTTATTGCACTTGTAGGACTATTTTAGCTGTCAAAATCTTTGCCACATTTCTCCGAAACTGGTTTGGCTCAGTGGTAGAGCGTCGGTCTGCGGACTGAAAGGTCCCGTGTTAAATTCCGGTCAAGGGCATGTACCTTGGTTGCGGGCACATCCCCAGTAGGGGGTGTGCAAGAGGCAACTGGTCGATGTTTCTCTCTCATCGACGTTTCTAGCTCTCTATCTCTCTCCCTTCCTCTCTGTAAAAAAATCAATTATTTTTTAAAAATCTTTTGCCACATTTCATAGAGTGTTCTAATAATTTGGTCAATTTCTTAAACATTTTCATGTTTACGCCTATAAAATGATTTGTCATATTCTCCTAAATTAACAATTAAAATTTTACAGTGGATTTTTAAAAAATCTATACACAGCCACAAGTTATTGTATATAGATATAACACCAAACTGTTATGTAGAGCACCGAGAAGTCAATTTGTGATTAAAACTCTCCTAACAAAATGAAAAAGAAGTTAGTGCACAGACATCTCTGTGAACAAATCAGAGAGGAAAAATACACATAAGTTGTTAGAAAATACTACGGCATAAATACTGACAAAACAGTCAAGGGCTATCGCTAGAGTTACTTGTCTTCAACAAGGTGTGCAGTGTGGGATAAACTCCTTATTCCCCTCCATGTCTAAATCTGTACATCAGAATTCCAGGGGACTCTGACATAGGACACAAAAAAAAAACTAAGATGTACTTTAGGAAATGAATTCCAGACCTCAAAGGTGCAGGTCCCCAAAACACACCTGCTAATCCTATCCCCCTTCTTTACTTTTTTTGCACAGAAAATGCAAGAAAACATGGATCTAGATTTTGTGACAAGTAAAGATCCAGTAACTTCTACATCCACATGCAAGGGAGTGCCCTAAAAAAACTACTATTTGTGAACACACTGTTCAGTCTTGAGATGGATGCAAGTAAGACTGGGTGGCAGGAACTTCCCATATAAATGTGTCTTTGCCCATCTTGCTGGGTACGGGCGTTTGGGAGCTACCTGGATGTGAGGAGTAGGAAATTCACATGACTCTGGTAAGAAATGTCTATTCTACCTCAAACTCCATGTGAAAGGTAGAGCCTTAGTCCCGGCTAGTGAAGAGCACTCAAAAGGCTCTGGCAGGTGCTGGGAACCATGACTGAGCAAAACCTGAGCAGTAGTCTAGAACACGTCTCCCTTATGCTCACATTTTGACCACCCAGCCTGGTCTAGCCCCACCACTGGGATGATATGGGAGATGGAGGATAGAAGGCTGAAGAGGTGAGGTCCAGTGAAAACAGCACCAGGGTGTGTCCGGCTGTAGTCATTACCTACACACAAAGCTCAGTTAGTGCCACCAAAGAACTGACCTGGGACATCCAGACGGAAGGTGACCTTCTGGCCCCCGGCCTCGCAGCTGTACTCCCCGCTGTCCCCCTTGGCCGCCTGCTGCAGCACCAGCCGCCGAGTGCAGCCCGTGGCCTCCACACGCACTTTTGAGCTCCCACTCAGCTTCTTGCCATCCTTGTACCATGTCACCTCTGTCTGGGCCTGGGCCACCTCACAGCTCAGCGTGGCACTGGCCCCAGCTATGGCCTTCACCTCACTATGTGCAGACTGCTCTTTGGCAAACACCACCTTGGGCTCTGGGAACAGATTGGCACACACAGGGTCAAAGACATCTTCTAAATCAGAAGGAGAGCACTCTGGACGCAAGGACTAAGCAGGAGGCTGCAGGACAGGGAAATCCTCAAGGCTCTGTGTGACCTGCAGAAGCCCCAGCACCTTCTCAGCACAAGTAGCTCATTCATCTGCACATTGACCCCTGCCCAGGGGGCGGTCCCTGCTGGGGACACGAGATGGACTTCTCCGGAGCACACACCCTCTAGCAGAGGGGCTTCAGGCCAGGAGGGGTGCACACACCCTCCCCAGGTTACCAAGTCTTTCCCGGATGTGCAGGGAGCATTCCCACCCAGCCAGGGACAGGTCCTGGGCTCCCCCTCCCACCTGCCTTCCGTGTGTCACCTGCTGGCCTTTTATGGGACTGAGTTGTGCCTCCTGAGCCTGTCTCTTCCATGGTTTGTATTGATAAGGCTGAAAAGGGCTAATTCTTTCCTAACAGGTTTGGCTCAGTGGATAAAGCATCAGCCTGTGGACTGCAAGGTTTCCAGTTCTATTCCAGTCAAGGGCATGTACTTGGGATGTGGGCACATCCCCAAAAAGAGTTGTGCAAGAGGCAGCTAATGGGTGTTTCTCTCTCTTCGATGTTTCTCTCTCTTTCCTTTCCTCTCTGTAAAAAAAAAAAAAAAAAAAAAAAAAAAAAAAAAAAAAAAAAAAAAAATCATTAAAATAAAAATAAAAGGGCTAATTCCAATGTAACCTTGATATTTGAGGGCTAGTGATCTGAATCCATACCAGCAAGCTCAGTGTGCATTTATGATAACCTATAATTAAGTCACTACATCCTTCCCAGATATGGTTGTTAAAGAACCTGCTATTGTGAACAGTGCGCTCCCCAGAGGGAGGGTTATTAATGCTGATGCCAGACCAAATCATCAGATATGGCCTGGAGACCCCCAACACCTGGGGGCATTTTTGCAAGGCCCACAAAAAGGACCATAAGCATAATCCATATTTGCAGGACAAAGACCACAGGGAGAGATAAAAAGAAGCCCCATGCATGTTTCTGCACTCAGATTTGGAAGGCTGTTCCCCGAGTCTGCTGGTGTATTAAACAGTGTCCCTGGTCTTCTTTATAACATCACTTGGTTTTTCTTTAGTTTTCTACAACAGGGTGATTCAGAGTGGTGCACCTTGGCTATGTTTTCTGTCTTTACTGTTTGCTCATCTATGGGTGTCTGTTCATGGGGATTTTGGACACCATATTTCTCCCCACCCTCAGCAAGTCCAATAATTTACCTTTTGTATAAATCACAATATCTGAATATCATATCAGTTTTTCACACTTTTATTTTTTTTTATTTTATTTCCTGCTTTCCGGCTGACAAAACTGGTTACTGTGAGGCCCCTTTCCTTGTCCCTGACCTCACAAGAAAAGCTTTCTGCTGTCACTTAGTGTGATTAGCTGATGGTTCTTCAGTATCATTTATCAGAAAGAGGAAAATATGTTTTCTTTATAATTGGTTAAGAATCTATGTCATGAATCGATATTGATAAACACGTCTTCCAGATTTTTAACATTAAATGTTACCAAAACTCAACTCTTCATTTATGAGGCTATCTCTTCATATTTTAGTTTCAATCTTCTCACACCGTGATTGAGGTTGATTTGTGGACTTTTAAAAAAATACATTTAATTGATTTTTTACAGAGAGGAAGAGAGAGGGATAGAGAGTTAGAAACATCGATGAGAGAGAATCATCGATCAGCTGCCTCTTGCACACTCCCTTTTGGGGATGTGTCTGCAACTAAGGTACCTGCCTTTGACCGGAATTGAACCCAGGCTGATGCTCTATCCATTGAGCCAAACCAGTTTCAGCTTGTGGACCTTTTTAGTGCTCACAGAGCTGGGCCATGACATTCATCATAGAGCATCATCCTCTTAATACATTGCCAATTCATTATTAAGCTAAGTTAGTGCCACTTGAGAGCTACCATGATTTATAGAGTAGGAAGTTCATATGACACAGGTAAGAGACGTCTGGTCTACCTCAGACTCCATGTGACAGGTAGAGCCTGAGTCCCAGCTGGTGAGGAGCACCCAGAAGGCTTTGGCAGGTGCTGGGAACCATGACTGAGCAAAACCTCGTGTACAGGATCACCTCTCCCTCTGCTCACACTCTGACCACCCAGCCTGGCCTGGCCCCACCACTGGGATGATATGGGAGATGGAGGATAGAAGGCTGAAGAGGTGAGGTCCAGCGGAAAGATCACCAGGGTGTGCCCGGCTGTAGTCATTACCTACACACAAAGCTCAGTTAGTGCCACCAAAGAACTGACCTGGGACATCCAGACGGAAGGTGACCTTCTGGCCCCCGGCCTCGCAGCTGTACTCCCCGCTGTCCCCCTTGGCCGCCTGCTGCAGCACCAGCCGCCGGGTGCAGCCCGTGGCCTCCACACGCACTTTTGAGCTCCCACTCAGCTTCTTGCCATCCTTGTACCACGTCACCTCCGTCTGGGCCTGGGCCACCTCGCAGCTCAGCGTGGCACTGGCCCCGGCCATGGCCTTCACCTCGCTGTGAGCAGACTGCTCCTTGGCAAACACCACCTTGGGCTCTGTGGACAGGAAGGAACACATAGGATCAAAGATATTTTCTAAATCAGGAGGACAGCACTGGGGATGCAAGCACTAAGCAGGGAGTTGGCAAGACTGGAAAATCCTCAAGGCTCTGTGTGACCTGCAGAAGCCCCAGCACCTTCTCAGCACAAGTAGCTCATTCATCTGCACATTGACCCCTACCCATGGGATGGTCTCTACTGGCGACACTGTGAAGGACTTCTTTCGACCACACACCCTCTAGTAGAGGGACTTCAGACCATTGGGTGTATACAACTCCTCAAGTGACCAAGTCTTTCCTAGATGTGCAGGGAGCATTCCCACCCAGCCAGGAACAAGTCCTGTGCTCCACCTCCCACCTGCCTTTTGTGTGTCACCTGCTGGCCTCCCAGGGGACTGAGCTGTGCCTCCTGAGCCTGTCTCTTCATGCTGTGGATGACTCACAAAATGGTGGACCTTGGCTATGTTTACGGGCTGTACTCTTTGCTTTTCTGTGTTGTGTCTGTTATTGGGATTGGGGGCTCCATAATACTTCTCCCCACTCCCACTAAGTCTAATGATGTATCTTTTGGGTACATCATATTATCTGAATTTCACTTCAGTTTTTCACACTTTTATAGGTTTTTATTTCCTGCTAACAAAATTGGTGACTGTGAGCCCCCTTGCCTCTCCTTGCTCTCAGAAGCAGAGCTTTCAAGTGTCACTTATTGTCATTAGCTGGTTTTCCTTCAGGATTATTTATCAGAAGAAGGATGAACCATTTTATTTATAACTACAGTCCTAGTGCACAAAATTTGTGCACGAGTATGGCTGCTAGCCCTGGCCAGCGATCTGGGCCTCCAGGGCCTTCTGGCTACAGGTCTGGGCCTTCTTTTGTTTTATACCACCCACTAGTGGTCAGCATATTTCACAGTGAGTGATCAAACAACCAGTCTCTCAAATTCCAGAGGGAACACTTAGCATATTAGCCAGATAGATAGATAGATAGATAGATAGATAGATAGATAGATAGATAGATAGATTGTTTAAGAGTCTATTGTATGGAGACTTAAGAGGAGAATCCAAGATGGCTGCACAGGTAAACACCTAACCGCAGCTGCACAAAGAATTTCAATAAAATACAACTAAAATATAAAATGGACATTACCCAGAACTATAGGAAATTCCACAACGAGAAGGAAAGAGAAAACCAGAAGGAAAATCAGAGGAGCTGTAAAAGCCTAAGGTACGGAGACACGCTGCGCGCATGGAGAGGACGGAGCCGGAGAGGAGGGGGAGGCTGAGTGCCTGGCTGGCGTTCCCTAGTGAGAAGGAGATAAAAGTTCCAGACTGTGCTGAACCCCAGTTCCAACTGCTCTGAACCCCAGTTCTAGGCCAGAACCTGGGGACCCAGGCTCATACAGAGGTAGACTGGGCTGTGAGGCGGAATCTCGGGGGAGCGGAGAAAGGAGGTTTGGAGGCGCACACATTGCGCGCAGAGAACGGACGGTTGGCTGTGCAGCGGGATTGCCCTGGCGGGAAGGAGACAAACTCCAGACTGCTCTGACCCACACTTCCAACCCCATTTCCAACTGAACTGAACCCCAGTTCCAGGCTCATTGGGGGAGAGCCTAGACTGTTTGGTAGCAGGCGAAATTTGAGGACACCTTTCTCTCAGAGGTGCTTGCAACGAGTACTGAAGGACCCTGAGGAATACTGAGACTCAGGAGCCTCATAGGGCATGGCTGACAGAAGCCAAGGCTGTAGGCTCCACCCTGAAACTCTGCCCCATCCAAGCTGAACACAGAGACTTTTAAAGCTACCAACTCAGGGAAGCTGCAAAAATGCCGAGACAAGGAAATAGATCACAAACAAAAGAAATGGAGGACAAAAAGAGACTGGATATAGAGTTCAAAACCATACTTATAAGGTTTTTCAAGAATTTCCTAGAAATGGTTGATAAGACCTATGAGGATATGAAAAGGGATCAACTAGAAATAATAAGGAACCAACAAGAAATAATAAGCGATCAACAAGAAATAAAGAATACATTGTCTGAAATAAAAAATATTATACAGAGTCCTAAAAACAGAGTGGAAGATCACAAGAATCAAGTCAAAGATTTGGAACATAAAGAGCCAGAAGACACTCCTCCACAGAAGCAAGAAGGCAAGAGAATCCAGAAAGTTGAAGATAATGGAAGAAACCTCTGGGACAACTTCAAGCGAACCAACATCAGAATTATGGGGGTCCCAGAAGATGAGAAAGAGCAAGATATCGAAAACATATTGAAAGAAATAGGGACAGAAAACTTCTCCCACCTGGTGAAAGAATTAGACTTACAAGTCCAGGAAGCACACAAAACTCTAAACAAAAGGAATCCAAAGAAGACCACACCAAGACAAATCATAATTAAAATTCCAAGAGCAAAAGACAAAGAGAGAATATTAAAAGCAGCAAGAGCCAAGCAGGTAGTTACCTATAAAGGAGCACCTATATGATTGTCAGCTGATTTCTCAACAGAAACCATGCAGGCCAGATGGGAATGATAAGAAATATTCAAGGTGATGAATAGCAAGAACCTACAGCCAAAAATAATTTACCCAGCAAAGCTATCACTCAGAATCGAAGGCCAGATAAAGAGCTTTACTAATAAAAAAAAAAAAAAGCTAAAGGAATTCATCACCACCAAACCAGAATTATATGAATTGCTGAAGGGGGTTCTTTCGGAAGAGAAAGTAAATAAAGATAAAAACTATGAACAACAAATATGTAACTATCAACAAGTGAATCTAAAAATTAAGGAAATTTTAAAAAATCTGATGAACAATATTAACTGTTGAATATAATAGAATCAGAGGTATCGAAGGGTAGTTAATTGACGATTCTCAGGGGAAAAGGGAGAGGGGGGTGTGGGAAGAGACTGAACATAAACTGTGCACCTATGGATGAGGACAATGGGTGGTGGAGAAAGGGCAGAGGGTGGGGTGGGAACCTGGTGGAGGACAGCAATGGGGGGCGGGGGAGAGGAACATTTGTAATAATATGAACACTAAACATTTATTTTAAAAAATAAAATTAGACTTAAGAGCACATAAAAAAGAGTCTATTGTATGAATAGATATTGATAAACATTTCTTCTAGATTTCTGATGTTAAATGTTATCAAAACTCAACTTTGCACCGATGAGATGATTGCTTCATTTTTTAGTTTCAATCTGCTCATGTCATGAGTGAGGTTGATTTGCTGACCTTTGTGGTGCTCACACAGTGGGGCCATGACTTTCTTTATACTGCATAGTCCTCTTAATACATTGCCCATTCATTTGGATACTACTTAGCTTCAGATGTTGGCCTTGGCCTCCACAATGGATTGGCCCATTATTTGAACTCTCCCTATCAGATATAATGAGGGTTCCATGTAATAAGCCAGAGACTGTATGTCCTTCTCTAGCTCTAGAAGCATCTCCATGAACATGCAATCATGTCCTTACAGAATAGTTCATATAATTTTCCTGTGGAGCCACTGCAGTGTCATCTTCACCCAGAAGATCTTCTATTTATTGTGGTTCCATTTATTGCAACACTTGTAGGACTATTTTAGCTGTCAAAATCTTTGGCCACATTTCATAGAATTCTAATAACTTGGTCAATTTAATAAAACTTTTCATGTTTACTCCTATAAAAATAATTTGTCATATTCTCCTAAATTAACAATTAAAAATGTACTGTGGATTTTTTTTTATCTATACACAGTCACAAGCTATTGTATATAGATATAACACCAAACTGTTATGTAGAGGCACCTGGAAGTAGATTTGTGATTAAAACTCTCCTAATAAAATGAAAAATCAGTTAGTGCCTATACATGTCTGTGAACAAACCAGAGAGGACAAATACACATGAGTTGTTAGAAAATACTACGGCATTAATACTGACTAAACAGTCAAGGGCTATCGCTAGAGTTACTTGTCTTCAACAAGGTGTGCAATGTGGGAGAAGCTCCTTATTCCTCTTCATGTCTAAATCTATACATCAGATTCACAGACGATTCTGACACAGGACACAAAAGGAAACTAATATGTACTTTAGGAAAAGAATTCCAGACCTCACAGGTGCAGGTCCCCAACACACATCTGCTAATTCTATCTCCCCTTTTTATTTTTGCACAGAACATGCAAGAAAACATGGATCTAGATTTTATGACAAGGATCCAGTAACTCCTATATCCACAGGCAAAGGAGTGCCCTAAAAAAACTACAATCTGTGAACACACTGTTCAGTCTTGAGAAGAATCCAAGTAAGTTTGGGTAGCAGAGACTTCCCCATATTCGGTTTTAATGAAATTCAAAAATGCCTCTGCCCACGTTGCTGGGTATAGTCATCTGGGAGCTACCAGGATATGGGGAGTAGGAAATTCACATGACACAGGTAAGAGACATCTGGTCTACCTCAGACTCCATGTGAAAGGTAGAGCCTGAAATGGCTGGTGAGAAGCACCCAGAAGGCTCTGGCAGGTGCTGAGAACCATGACTGAGCAAAACCTGAGCAGTACTCTACTGGTACAGGATCACCTCTCCCTTCTGCTCATACTCTGCCCACCCAGCCTGGTCTGGCCCCACCACTGGGATGATATGGGAGATGGAGGATAGAAGGCTAAAGAGGTGAGGTCCAGTGGAAAGAGCACCAGGGTGTGTCTGGCTGTAGTCACTATCCTCACACAAAGCTCAGTTAGTGCCACCAAAGAACTGACCTGGGACATCAAGATGGAAGGTGACCTTCTGGCCCCCGGCCTCGCAGCTGTACTCCCCGCTGTCCCCCTTGGCCGCCTGCTGCAGCACCAGCCTCCGGGTGCAGCCCGTGGCCTCCACACGCACTTTTGAGCTCCCACTCAGCTTCTTGCCATCCTTGTACCACGTCACCTCCGTCTGGGCCTGGGCCACCTCGCAGCTCAGCGTGGCACTGGCCCCAGCCATGGCCTTCACCTCGCTGTGTGCAGACTGCTCCTTGGCAAACACCATCTTGGGCTCTGCGGATAGGGAGGCACACACGAAGTCAAAGATCTCTTCTAAATCAGAAGGACACATCTCTGGATGCAAGGACTAAGCAAGGAGGTGGCAGGACAGGAAAACCCTCAAGGCTCTGTGTGGCCTGCAGAAGCCCCAGTATCTTCTCAGCACAAGTAGCTCATTCATCTGCACACTGACCCCTGCCCAGTGAACACTCTATGCTGGGGACATCGTGAAGAACTTCTCTTGACCACACACCCTCTAGCAGAGGGACTTCAGGCCATGAGGGGTGCACACACATGACCAAGTCTTTCCTGGTTGTGCAGGGAGCATTTGCACCCAGCCAGGAACAGGTCCTGGACTCCACCTCCCAACTACCTTTCTAGGGGACTGAGCTGTGCCTCCTGAGCCTATCTCTTCCATGGTTTTTATTGATAAGGCTAAAAAGGGCTAACTACACTCTAACAAGTTTGGCTCAGTGGATAGAGCAGCAGCCTGTTGACTGAAAGGTTCCCGGCTCTATCCCGGTCAAGGGCATGTACCTGGGTTGTGGCCACGTCCCCAATAGGAGTTGTGCAAGAGGCAGCTGATGGGTGTTTCTCTCTCATCAATGTTTCTAGCTCTCCATTCCTCTCTAAAAAAATCAATAAAATTAAAATAAAAGAAATAACTCCAATGTTACCCTGATATTTGGGGACTAGTGATCTAAATCCATGACAGCATGCTCAGTGCACATTCTTGATAACCTATAATTAAGTCACTACCTGCTTTACAGATAGGATTCTTGAAGAACCTGCTATTATGAACAGTGCGCTGCCCCAGAGGGAGGGTTATTAATGCTGGTGCTAGGCCAGACCACCAGATATGAGGCATTCTTACAAGGTCCACAAAAAGGACCAGAAGCATAATCCATATTTTCAGGACAAAAACCATGGAGAGATAAAAAGAAGCCCCATGTATGTTTCTGCACTCAGATTTGGAAGGCTGTTCCCCGAGTCTGCTGGTGTATTAAACAGTGTCCCTGGTCTTCTTTATAACATCACTTGGTTTTTCTTTAGTTTTCTGCAACAGGGTGATTCAGAGTGGTGCACCTTGGCTATGTTTTCTGTCTTTACTGTTTGCTCATCTATGGTGCGTCTGTTCATGGGGATTTTGGACACAATATTTCTCCCCACTCCCACCAAGTCCAATAATTTACCTTTTGTATAAATCATATTACCTGAATCTCTCTTCAGATTTTCACACTTTTATATGTTTTTTTTATTTTATTTCCTGCTTTCCGGCTGACAAAACTGGTTACTGTGAGGCCCCTTTCCTTGTCCCTGATCTCACAAGCAAAGCTTTCTGCTGTCACTTAGTGTGATTAGCTGATTGTTCTTCAGTATAATTTATCAGAAAAAGGAAGATATGTTTTCTTTATAATTGGTTAAGAATCTATGGCATGTATAGATATTGGTAAACATTTCTCCTAGATTTCTGATATTAAATGTTATCAGAACTCAAATCTGCACCGAGAGATGATTGCTCCATATTTTGGTTTCAATCTTCTCACATCATGAGTGATGTTGATTTGCTGACTTCTGTGGTACTCACACAGCTGGGCATGATTTTTATATAGTGCATCATCTTCTTAATACATTGCCCATTCATTTTGATACTACTTAGCTTCAGATGTTGGCCTTGGCCTCCACAGTGGATTGGCCCATTATTTGAACTGTCCCTATCAGATGTTGGTGATAATTGTCATGCTGGTGCCACGTAATAAGCCAGGGACTCTTTGTCCTTCTCTAGCTGTAGAAGGATCTCCATGAGCATGCAATAATTTCCTTATAGAATAGTTCATATAATTTTCCTATGGAGCCACTGGGTGTCATCTTCACCTATAAGAACTTTTAAGGTGGTTCCATTTACTGAAAAGAATTGTAGGACTATTTTAGCTGTCAAAATCTTATAACACTTTCATATAGTTTTGTAACAATTTGGTCAATTTCTCAAAACTTTTCATAAATTACTCCTACAAAATCATTTGTCATATTCTCCTAAAGTAATAATTAAAAATGTATAGTGGAATTTTTTTGTATGTATACACAGCCACAGGTTATTTTACACAGATAGAACACTACACTATTATAAAGAGGCACCTAGAAATTGATTTGAGGTTAAAACTCTCCTAACAAAATGAAAACACAGTTAGTTCACAGACATCTCTGTGAACAAAGCAGACAGGGACGAATACACATGAATCGTTAGGAAACACTATGGCATAAATTCTGACAAAAGAGCTGAAGCCGGTTTGGCTCAGTGGAAGAGCCAATGTACATGCCTGGGAACTGAGGGGTCCCGGGTTCGATTCCGGTCAAGGGCATGTACATTGGTTACGGGCACATCCCAAGTGGGGGGGGGGGTGCAGGAGGCAGCTGGTTGATGTTTCTCTCTCATTGACGTTTCTAACTCTCTATCCCTCTCAATTCCTCTCTGTGTAAAATCAATAAAATATATATTTTTTTTAAATTCTGACAAAACAGTCAAGAGCTATCGCTATAGTTCTTTGTCTTCAACAAGCCATGCAGAGTGGGAGAAGCTCTTTATTCCCCTCCATGACTAGATCTATACATCAGACTCCCAGGGGATTCTGACACAGGAAACAAAAGGAAACCAAGAGGTACTTTAGGAAGAGAATTCCAGACCTCACATGTGCAGGTCCACAGCACACACCTGCCAATCCTCTGGTCTCTATTTACTTTTTGCACAATTCTTGGAAGAAATCATGGATCTAGATTTTGGGACAAGTGAGGATCCAGTAACTTCTACATCCAAACGCAAAGGAGTGCCCTAAAAATCTACAATTTGCTAACACACGGCTCAGTCTTGAGATGGATGCAAGTAAGACTGGGTGACAGGAACTTCCCCATATTCTGTTGTAAGGAAATTCAAAAGTGTCTCTGCCCATGTTGTTGGGTGCAGGCATCCAAGAGCTACCAGGACGTGGGGAGTAGGAAGTTCATATAACACAGGTAAGAGATGTCTGGTCTACCTCAGTCTCCATGTGACAGGTAGAGCCTGAGTCCCGGTTGGTGGGGAGCAGCCAGAAGGCTCTGGCAGGTGTTGGGAACCATGACTGAGCAAAACGTGAGTATAACTCCGTGTGTACAGGATCACCGCTCCCTTCTGATCACACTCTGACCACCCAGCCTGGTCTGGCCCCACCACTGGGATGATATGGGAGATGGAGGATAGAAGGCTAAAGAGGTGAGGTCCAGCGGAAAGAGAGACAGGATGTGCCCGGCTGTAGTCATTACCTACACACAAAGCTCAGTTAGTGCCACCAAAGAACTGACCTGGGACATCCAGATGGAAGGTGACCTTCTGGCCCCCGGCCTCGCAGCTGTACTCCCCGCTGTCCCCCTTGGCCGCCTGCTGCAGCACCAGCCGCCGGGTGCAGCCCGTGGCCTCCACACGCACTTTTGAGCTCCCACTCAGCTTCTTGCCATCCTTGTACCATGTCACCTCCGTCTGGGCCTGGGCCACCTCGCAGCTCAGCGTGGCACTGGCCCCGGCCATGGCTTTCACCTCGCTGTGTGCAGACTGCTCCTTGGCAAACACCACCTTGGGCTCTGTGGACAGGAAGGGACACACAGGGTCAAAGATATTTTCTAAATCAGGAGGACAACACTAGGTCAGAAGGACTAAGGAGGGAGATGGCAGGACAGGGAAATCCTCAATGCTCAGTGTGACCTGCAGAAGCCCCAGCACCTTCTCGGCACAAGTATCTTGTTCATCTGCACATTAACCACTGCCCAGGGGGGTGATCCCTGCTGGGGACACAGTGATGGACTTCTCCGGAGCACACACCCTCTAGCAGAGGGACTTCAGGCCAGGAGGCGTGCACGCACCCTCCCCAGTTGACCAAGTCTTTTCTGGATGTGCAGGGAGCATTCCCACCCAGCCAGGGACAGGCTCCACCTCCCATCTGCCTTCCGTGTGTCACCTGCTGGCCTCCCAGGGGACTGAGCTGTGCCTCCTGAGCGTGTCTCTTCCATGGTGTGAATGACTCACAAAGTGGTGGGCCTTGGCTATGTTTTCGGTCTTTGCTGTTTGTTCTTCTGTGGTGTGTCTGTTCATGGGAATTTGGGGCACCGTAATACTTCTCCCCACTCCCACCAAGTCTAACAATTTACCTTTTGCATAAATCAAACTGAATTTCACATCATTTTTTCACACTTGTATATGTTTTACTTTATTTCCTGCTGACAAAAGTGGTGACTGTGAGCCCCCTTGCCTGGTCCCTGCTCTCAGAGAAAGCCTTCAAGTGTCATTTAGTGTGGTTAGCTGATTGTTCTTTAGTTCATCTATCCGAAGAAGGATGAACTGTTTTCTTTATAATTGGTTAAGAATCCAATGGGTGAAGAGAAATTGATAAACATTTCTTCTATATTTCTGACATTAAATGTTATCAAAACTCAGCTCTGCACTGACGAGGTGATCGCTTCATATTTTAGTTTCAATCTGCTCATGTCATGTCATCATGAATGAGGTTGATTTGCTGACCTTTGTAGTGCTCAGACAGCTGGGTCATGACTTTCTTTTTACTGCATCGTCCTCTTAATACATTGCTCATTCATTTTGATACTACCTAGATTCAGATTTGAGCCTTGGTCTCCACAATAGTTTGGCCCTTATTTTGAACTCTCCCTATCAGATGTTGGTGATAAATGTCATGCTGGCACCAACAGTATGTCCTTCTCTAGCTCTGGAACAGTGGTTCTCAACTTTTCTAATGCCACTACCATTTAAAATAGCTCCTCATGTTGAGGTTACCTCCAGCCATTATATTATTTTCGTTGCTACTTCCTATCTGTAATTTTTCTACTGTTAATGAATTGTAATGGAAATATCTGTGTTTTCCGATTGTCTTAGGCAACCCTGCTAGCGGTTCTCAACCTGTGGATCCTTCTAGAGTCTAGAAGGATCTCTATGAGCATGCAATAATTTCCTTACCAAATAGTTCATATAATTTTCCAGTGGAGCCATCAGGGGTGTCATCTTCACCTATAAGAACTTTTTTATTGTTGGCCCTTTTATTAAAAAGGTTGTAGGACTATTTTAGCTATTAAAATCTTTTGTCACTTTTCATGTATTTTTCCAATAATTTGGTCAATTTCTCAAAACTACTCATATTTGCCCCTACAAAATAATTTGTCATATTCTCCTAAAGTAACAATTTAAAAAGTTTGGTTGGTGGATTTTTTGTGTGTCTATACACACCTACAAGTTATTTTACACAGAGATAACACCAAACTATTATGTAGAGGCACCTGAAAGTTGATTTGAGGTTAAAACTCTCCTAACAAAAAGAAAACACATTTTGTCCACAGACATCTCTGTGAGCAAACCAGAGACAAACACACATGTGTCATTAGGAAACACTATGATATAAATACTGACTCAACAGTCAATGCCTATCACTATAGTTACTTGTCTTCAACAAGGTGTACAGTGTGGGAGAAGCTCCTTATTCCCCTCCATGTCTAAGTCTATACATCAGACTCCCAGGGGATTCTGACACAGGACACAAAAGGAAACCAAGATGTACTTTAGGAAGATATTCCAGGCCTGACAGGTGCAGGTCCCCGGCACACACCTGACAATGCTCTGCTCTTTCTTTACTTTTTGCCCAGACCTTGCAAGAATACACGAATCTATATTTTTGGGACAAGTGATGATGCAGTAACTTCTACATTCACACCTAAAGGTGTGTCCTAAAAAGCTAAAATTTGTCAACACACAACAGTTCAGTCTTGAGACAGATCAAGTAAGATTGGGTGGCAGAGACTTCCCCATATTCTGTTGTAAGGAAATTCAAACGTGTCTCTGCCCATGTTGCTGGGTGCGGGCACCTGGAAGCTACCAGGACTTGGGGAGTAGGAAATTCACATGACACAGGTAAGAGACGTCTGGTCTACCTCAGTCTCCATGTGACAGGTAGAGCCTGAGTCCCGGCTGGTGAGGAGCACCCAGAAGGCTCTGGCAGGTGCTGGGAACCATGACTGAGCAAAACCTGAGCAGTACTCTACTGGTACTGGATCACCTCTCCCTTCTGCTCACACTTTGCCCACCCAGCCTGATCGGGACCCATGACTGGGATGATATGGGAGATGGAGGATAGAAGGCTGAAGAGGTGAGGTCCAGCGGAAAGATCACCAGGGTGTGTCCGGCTGTAGTCATTACCTACACACAAAGCTAAGTTAGTGTCACCAAAGAACTGACCTGGGACATCCAGATGGAAGGTGACCTTCTGGCCCCCGGCCTCACAGCTGTACTCCCCGCTGTCCCCCTTGGCCGCCTGCTGCAGCACCAGCCGCCGGGTGCAGCCCGTGGCCTCCACACGCACTTTTGAGCTCCCACTCAGCTTCTTGCCATCCTTGTACCATGTCACCTCTGTCTGGGCCTGGGCCACCTCGCAGCTCAGCGTGGCACTGGCCCCGGCCATGGCCTTCACCTCGCTGTGTGCAGACTGCTCCTTGGCAAACACCACCGTGGGCTCTGTAAACAGGGAGGGACACACAGGGTCAGAGACACAAAACTTGTAGAAGTCTATCTCACCTTCACCATAGTTTCAGAGATGAGTAAAATTTCTCCTTCCAGCTATGTGCCTGTTTGGGTATTAGTCCCTGGTGGAGTCAGCATATTATTTATAAACATATGTCTCCTGTAATGGAATTTCAAGTGTGCATTGCATCCTGACAGAAAAATTTCTAAGACTGAGAAAGTCAGTCAAGGCTATTATGCCACTTGTCAGTGCCAGTTCATTGTCTTCCCATATGACAGTCAATTCTTGTGTGCAGGTGGCAATGGTCACTCCTTTATTTTTTAATATGTTTTCATTGATTTCAGAGAGGAGAGGGAGAGAGATCCAGAAATATCAATGATGAGAGATGATCATTGATTAGCTGCCTTTTGCTGCCCCTATTGGGACTCAAGCCCACAATTCCATTCCTTAGGGGAATCAAATGGTGATCTATCAATAATTCATGGGGCAACACTCAATCACTGATTCTCACCGGTCGGGCAGGTTGGTAACTCTTTTACCACCAGAGCCAGGCTCATGGTATGTCATCCACAAACTAAGCTACACCTTTCTGGGTCTAACTCACATGTCAAGTACACTAATTTATTTGCACAGCTCAATGAAGTTCAGACTTAGCTTTCCCCATGTACCCAAACACAACCAACAGAACATTTCCAGCTGCTCATCCACTGATGATCAAACTCTTTATTGCTGAAAGTATTACATGTCCCAATTTCCCCCCACATACACACACCAACCCCCTCTAAAAACCCCCTGCCTTCATCCCACGCCTTCACCACCCAGGCTATATTCTGTCTGTGTCCATGGCCATGCATATATGCAAACCAAGTCCTTGGTTTATTACCTCTCTCACCCCCCACCCTCTCCTGTCTTCCCTCAGAGATTCCCCACTCTGTTAAATGCTTCCACTTCTCTGGATACACTCCATTAATCAGTTTATCTTAATTAGACTCCACATATGAATAATATCATATAATACATCTCTTTCTCCAACTGACTTATTTCACTTAGCATGATACTCTCCTGGTCCCTCCATGCTGTCTCAAAGGGTAAGAGATTCTTCTTTTTTTAAATATATTTTATTGATTTTTTTTTACAGAAGGGGAGAGGGACAGAGAGCTAGAAACATCAATCAGCTGCCACCTGCACACTCCCTACTGGTACATGCCTTTGACCGGTATTGAACCCGGGACCTCTCAGGACCTCTATCCACTGAGCCAAACCAGTCAGGGAGAGATTCTTCTTTTTTTTTTTTTTACTGCTGCATAGTACTCCCTGGTATAAATATACCACAGCTTTTTTTTTTTTTTTCCAATCATCTACTGATGGGAACTTGGGGTGTTTATAGATCTTAGCTATTGTAAATTGTACATTATAATCATTCTTTCTGTTGGGTGTTTTGGGTTTCTTAGGATATATAAATGTGGGGTCACTGGGTCAAATGGCAGTTTCATATTTAAATTTTTAAGGAGCTTCCATACTATTTTCCATAATAGTTACATCAGTCTGTATTCCCAACAGCAGACTAGGGTTCCCTTTTCCCCACATCTTCACCAGCACTTGTCATTTATTGATTTGTTGATTGTAGCAATTCTGATAGGTGTGAGGTGATACTTCATTGTCATTTTAATTTACATCTATCTGATGATCAGTGACTGAGCATTTTCCCCACAAGTCTCTTGGCCTTATGTATGTCCACTCTGGAGAAGTGTCTATTTAGGTCCTCTGCCCATTTTTCAATTGGATAGTTTGTCATCCTTATATAATTTGGATATTAACCCTTTATCAGATGTATCATTGCCAAATATGTTCTTCCATACAGTGGGCCCCCTTTTCATTTTGTTGATGGTTTCTTTTACTGTGAAAGAAATTTTATTTTTTTTAATAAATTTTATTGTTCAGATTATTACAAATGTGTTCCTCTCCCCCCCCCATTGCTCCCCTCCACCAGGTTCCCACCCCACCCTCTGTCCTTTCCCTATCCCCCATTGTCTCCATCCATACGTGCACAGTTTTTGTTCAGTCTCTTCCCGCACCCCAATTCCCCTTTTCCCCGAGAATCGTCAGTTCACTCCCCTTCCATACCTCTGATTCTATTATATTCACCAGTTAATATTGTTCATCAGATTTTTTAATTCCCTTGTTCTTTAGATTCACTTGTTGATAGTTACGTATTTGTTGTTCATAATTTTTATCTTTATCTTCTTCTTCTTCCTAAATAACCTCCTTCATATAATTCATATAATTCTGGTTTGGTGGTGATGAACTCCTTTAGCTTTTTTTTATTTGTGAAGCTCTTTATCTGGCTTTTGATTCTGAGTGATAGCTTTTCTGGGTAGATTATTTTTGGCTGTAGGTTCTTGCTATTCATCACCTTGAATATTTCTTATCATTCCCGTCTGGCCTGCATGGTTTCTATTGAGAAATCAGCTGATAATTGTATGGGTGCTCCTTTATAGGTAACTACCTGCTTTTCTCTTACTGCTTTTAATATTCTCTCTTTGTCTTTTGCTCTTGGAATTTTATTTTATTTTTTTAATATATTTTATTGATTTTGTACAGAGAGGAAAGGAGACAGATAGTTAGAAACATCAATGAGAGAGAGTCATCGATCAGCTGCCTCTTGCACACCCCCTACCAGGGATCTGCCTGCAACCAAGGTACATGCCCTTGACCGGAATCGAACCCGGACCTTTCAGTCCCCAAGCCGACGCTCTATCCACTGAGCCAAACCAGTCCCGGCTGCTCTTGGAATTTTAATTATGATGTGTCTTGCCGAAACCGGTTTGGCTCAGTGGTAGAGCATTGGTCTGCGGACTGAAAGGTCCTAGGTTCGATTCCAGTCAAGGGCATGTATGTTGGTTGTGGGCACATCCCCGGTGGGGGGTGTGCAAGAGGCAGCTGGTCAATGTTTCTCTCTCATCGACATTTCTAGCTCTCTATCTCTCTCCCTTCCTCTCTGTAAAAAAATAAATAAATAAATAAATAAAATTTTTAAAAATCAATAAAAAATATATATACCGTATTTTCCGGCGTATAAGACGACTTTTGAAATGAAAAAAAGTCAACCGAAAATTGGGGGCAAAAGACCAAAATTGCACAAAAATTACCTGCAGATCTTGACGGAAAGTAAGTCTTTTCTTTGAAGTGGGGGCGGGAGGTAGTCTTACACAGCGAATATAGGCCTAAACCTATGTTTTAACTGTAAAATTAGGGGGTCGTTTTATACGTCGGAAAATACTGTGTGTGTGTGTGTGTGTGTGTGTGTGTGTGTGTGTGTATTAATTATGATGTGTCTTGGTGTGATCCTCCTTGGATTCCTTTTGTTTGGGGTTCTGCGGGCTTCCTGGACTTGTAAGTCTATTTCTTTCTCCAGATGGGGAAGTTTTCTGTCACTACTTTTTCCAGTATTCTTTTGGTAGCTTGTGCTCTCTCTTATTCTGGGATCCCCATAATTCTGATGTTGGTTCACTTGAAATTGTCTCAGAGGTTTCTTACACTATCTTCAACTTTCTGGATTCTCTTTTCTTGCTTCTGTGGAGGAGTGTCCTCTGGCTCTTTGTGTTCTAAATCTTTGTCTTGATTCTTGGGATCTTCCAGTCTGTTTTTAGGACTCTGGGTAATATTTTTTATTTCAGACAATGTTTTCTTCATTTCTAGTTGATCTCTTATTATTTCTAGTTGCTCCCTTTTCATATCCTCATAGGTCTCATTTATTTTATCGGCCTTTTTTAGGATATTCTTAAATAATCTTATAACTGTAGTTTTGAACTCAATGTCCAATGTTTTCTTTTCCTCCATCTCCTCCCTTGTGTCCTTCCTCTTGTCTGCATTTTAGTTGTTTCCCTGATTTGATGGAATAGTTTTGTGTGCTAGTTGTTCTGGTAGAGCCCAGTAGCACAGCCTTCCCAGTTACCTGTAGGGGACAGTCTTGGTGTAACCCTTTGTGGGCTGTGTGTGCAGTCTTGTTGGTAAGCCTTGCTTATTGTTGGTATCACTGGGAAGCGTTGATCTCCAAGCCAATTGGCTGTGAGGGTCAGCAGTGTCTCAGTTAGGAGGGCTTCTGTACTCCACTTGGATGGGGCAGGGTCTCGGGGTGGCACAGACAATCTTTGGTTCCCTGTCAGTCTCACCTTAGAAAAGTCCTGTTCTGTTCACAGTGAGTTTCAGAAGATTGGTTGCTAGCATGCACACCTCTTTGGTAAAGGCACAGACAAGCTTTGGATTCTGGCCAGTCCCTCCTTAGAGAAAGCCAGCCTCTGGGAGAGCTTCTGTGCTCAGCTTGGATGGGGCGGAGTCTCGGGTTGGTGCAGAAAAGCTTTGTTTTCCTGTCGGCTCCTCCCCAAGTCTGGCAGTTATGGCCTCTGGCTTCACACACCTCTGAGAGATCTCTGCCCGCTGCCTGAAAGTCTGGCCTCTTCCTGTCTGGGGCCGTCTATCAGAGCAATAGGGTGATTCTGTTTTCCTCTCGAACAAGAAAGCCAGCGGTCCCTTAGCTGTCGGCCCTCTCCATGCACCAGGAGTAAGCCAGCAGCAATCTTGGCCCTTCCTCTCCATGTGCCTTTTTGTGTGCACAGTTCTCTGTACCTCCACAGTTCCTGAGGTTCAGCGTGCCTTCTCTCTCCTTCCCAGATGGCAGAGCCTCCTCTCAGCTAGCTGTCAGGTGCTTCAGGGCAATGCCTCCCCTGTTTTCCAGTTCTAAATTCAAATTTGTTGTGGTAAGCTGCATTCAGGTGTCTACCCTATGGCGCCATCTTGGTTTCTCCTCAGAAATTTTATTTTTAATATAGTCCCATTTGTTTATTTTCTCCTTAGCTTCCTTTGCCCTAGGAAATGAATCTGTAAAAGTATTGCTATGAGAGATGTCTGAGATTTTGCTGCCTATGGTTTCTTCTGGGATTTTTATGGTTTCACAACTTAAATTTGAGTCCCATTCATTTTGAGTTTATTCTTG